GCATCGGCACTGTGGCTGGCTGTAGGGCCCGAAGCCCTAGTGAGCTTTGCTTTCTGCTTTTCTAACTTAGAATTGTAGAAGAACACACGCACGGGAGGCCCGGCATGTTGTGACATCTGAAGGTCCTCACCCTAGCTGGAGACAGGCAAGATATGAGTGTGTTCTCAGGGCCTACAGCTCCCGCAGCCTCTCAGGCAGTCTGGGTAGTTGGAGCCACCAGGTGTCCTCCGAACAGTAAGTAGGGTCACACCCTGACAAAGTCTGTCAGGGGGTCCTGTTGGTGGATATAGACCCATTCCTTGAGTTTCCTGTGACTGGCTATGTCAGTATTCTCTGAAAAGGACTAGTTTCCACAGTTATCTCACTTCAACGTGGGGACAGAAACCTGGGCTCTCTGGCCAGGTTGGGCACTGCGGTGTGTGTGGTACGTGTCTCTCCGGGGAGGCACCGCGTCTGTGTAGGAGAGAAGCGAGGTGGACATGCAGAGTCCTGACACAGCTGCTTACAGTCATCTGTCTGGAAATTGGTTTTGTCCTATGGATGATACTTTGACAGCACATTCCGATTTCCCTGCGGCCAGAGGCTGGCTGGCCGGCCTTGCCCAGAGCCCCAGGGACTCGAGCTGGCAGCAACACCACAGTATACGAGCACTGCCCCCCCACAGGTGCCACAGCCAATTTTCCTGACATGGTTTGCTCCCTAGTGGGCAGCCCTGTTAATTAACAGAGTGTGAATTTGAGCTGTATACTGGCAAACTGGGAGCAGTTCCAGGTCAGTCAGGCCTGTTTCAGTACAACAGCTGACGACTTTTTCAGCATTGCCCATTGGGTATAGGTGAGTCAAGATGATGGTAGTTATAATTCCTAGTCCACAGCAGCCATGGTGGTTTTCTTTTGCTGGGTTTATATTTAACCGTCAGCGCCATATTTGGGGAAACATCGGGTGTGTACAGGAGTAATAGTCTGTCAGATACTGGGTTCGCTTCTGGCTTGCTGCTTCCTGCTCCAGAGAGTCTGCCTGCTGATGTGCCTCTTCCCTGGGGTGCAGAGGAACCCTGTAGGGTACGGGAGTCTTTGGGACATACTTAGGAATGATCTAGCATGGGAAACAGGTTACCAAAAGCCAGCCCAGCGCCAGGGAGAGGTCCTGCCTTCACTGTTAGAAGCCTTACTAATGCCAGGCTTTTTGAAAGCCCGTGGGACGCCTGTCCCTTTCTGAATGGAGATGGAGGAGTTGATGAGGGGGATAGATGGGAAAAGGAGGAGAGGAGGGAGGGGAAACTGATTGGTATGTAAAATAAATGAAAAAAAGTTATTTAAATTAAAAAAAAAAAGCATGATCCCCACTGGAGCCAGCCTTTGTTTGTGACCACAGGGTGTTTCTGGTTAATGGGAGATGGGACTGGACTGAGTCCTTGGAATATAGGAGCTGCTTCTGTGGATAGGGCCAACTTGGAGATTGGCTGTGAAGAGACCTTGGGATGACCACTTACTGGGCCCACACTATCCCCAAGACTTCATTGTGGCCACTTACATGAAAAACTGTTGGGAAGATGGGCTCTGTGTTGGACATCTAGGGGGACATCTGTCCCAAGTCAGGGGATAGGCTTTATTTGGTGTTCTTAGCAGGACCACGCTGGGTAACCTAGCATCTGCATGAGGCTGCAATGTACACTGCGTTGCTTCCCTTAGGATGTGTGTCCAGGCCTCTTGCCCATCACTTGTCCTGTGCACACTTTACAGCTTCCCTGAAATACCACAGCTATATGAAACATATTCCATTGATTCATAACTACGTTTGATATTTATATAGAAAAACCCTTAGAATCAAAAAAAGTAGAGATTTGGTTTTATAACATTGATAGTTCTTCAGGAATTTTTTTTTTTTTTTTTGCCTATATTTACCTCAAGGTGATATTTTCTGGTTGACAATCGCACATGCAGGAGATGGGTACCTCCCCCAAAACACACCTTAGTGGTTCCATTCTTCACACTGTTGTGGACACAGGGTTGGCACTCACGTGTAGTCAGGATGTAGACTACACGGGTGGGTGTTCTGAGGGCGGCATGCATGCCATCCCTTTGGAGTCCCTGGGCACTGTCATGTTCTTTTTGTCTGCTGCTACTCTTTGACGAACTCCTTTGATTTGTCTGCCAGCTGTGAATCTTACCTTGATGGCCTTCAGTGTCTGTGGCCAGCTTCTGCAAGTAAGGGTGATCACTGAACCCCAGTTATTGAGCACATGGCCGTGGGCGCTGCTTCAGCTATGATACCAGCAGGATATTCCTCCGTCCCTCTCTAGGTATGGCACTGGGAATTGGCCCCAGGCCCTCACACATTCTAGGCCCCTCTGGCCTCTCCCACTGAGCCATATTACTAGTGTCCAGCCCTGTTTTAAACACATTGTTCAAGTACCAGCGAGAGCTGTCTAGCATTCCTTGCTGCAGAATGGCTATCTATCTGGGTGGGATCAAGAAACTGGGACTTTAGCATGCTCTTTTAGAAAAGTCCATTCACCTTTGCATTGTAAAAATCAAGTTTTTTCTTAAGTTTTTCTCTGTCGCATTTTCTATTACCACTTTTAAAAATTAACTCTCAGTCTTCTTATTAAATTAAATTCCGGACTGTTGGGGTGGCTTAGATAAAGGCATTTAAACCAGCCCTGACAACGTGAGTTTGCTCCGTGGATCTCACATGGTGGAAGGAGAGAACTTATTCTGAAGGTTGTCCTCTGACCTCCACACGTGCACAGCACACATGTACCCACCCACAACCCTCCTACACACAGTAAATAAATTTCTTACATGATTTAGTAAATATAATGTTTAACCTTTAAGAAGCGTTCAATCTTTAATAGGCAACTCTTCACAAATACATGAATACACAGAAGGATACAGTAACATTTGTTTTTATTATTTTTTGTGTGGTGTGTGTATGTATGTGTGCCTGTGCACACATTATGTGTGTTTGTGGAGGCCAGAGGTCAATTTTGGGTGTCTTCTCTATTTATTTTGTTTTTTGTTTGTTTGTTTTCCAAGACAGTTTCTCTATGTTGCCATGGCTGTCCTGGAACTTGCTCTGTAGACCAGACTGTTCTTGAACTCACAGAGATTCACTTGCTTCTGCCTTTTAGGTATTGGAATTAAGGGCGTGTACCACCACTGCCTGGCTCTACTTTATTTTTTAATTTAAGGTTCTTCACTCAGTCTGGAATCGCACCTATTTGATGAGATTAGCAGTCCAGCAAGTCCTCTTATCCCGGCCTCTCCAGTGCTAGGGTCACAAGTGTGAGACACTGCCTGGCTTTTTACGTGTGGACTGGGGATCTGAACTTAGGTCCTCAGTGCTGCATGGCAAACACTTTTCTGACTGAGCTGTTTCCTCAGTCCTTATTTAATTGATTATTTGTGGGCATATGACTGCTGTACACAATATAATTTTCCTTATCAATTCTTCCCTTGATGAATACCCAGGTTGGTTCTATAACTTAGCTATTTTGGACAGTGCTGCAAATAAACATTGATGAATGTGCTGGACATGGTGCCAGACACCTTTAATCCCAGGAGTTGTGAAACTGAGGCAGGCTAGCCTAACTTGATCTACATAGCAAGTTCCAGGCCAACTAGAGCTACACAGTGAGACCCTGTCTCGTATAAAACAAAACAAAAAAAAAGTTGAACAAGTATCTTTGTGATATGTTAACCTAGGTCCTTGAAGTAAATACCCAGGAATGCTATAAATTTAATGTTCAAGCATTCTTGAACATATCTTTAAATGCTCTCACCTCCTTGTATCAACTGCTCTGTGTGTGTGTGTGTGTGTGTGTGTGTGTGTGTGTGTGTGTGTGTCTGTCCGTCCGTATGTATGTATGTCTCTTACTCTGTGTCTGTGTGTGCATGTATATCAGTTACTTGGTTGAATATTTCCACCAGAACCAGAAGAAGAATTCATGTGTCTTTATCTCTTGGCTACTATAGACATTTCAGATGGTGAAACAAATAATCCTATGCACACAGGACCACTAGGACTGGCTTCTGTGTCTGGATCCTCAGCCCTGGGACTTCCAGGGCCCCTCTCTGGTCCAGGCTCCCTCTCTGGTCCAGGCTCTGTGGTGTCTCCACCCTTTTCTGAGGTTGTTGAAATCTTGTCCTGTGGCTTCACATCCTTCTGCCTCACTTGTGGGTGTCACCATCACTCTCCATAAATGCATGACCCTTTCTATCCTGGTGTGAGCTTCTGAGTTTTGCACGCTCTTGGTATGGCCACAAACTTGGGAGCCTGGTTGTGGTTATTGCTTTGAAGAACCATCATTTCTTTGTGTGATTCTTGGGAAACTCAAAAATACCTCTTTGCCTTTGAGCTGGTGGACTTCTTTCATTTCAGGGGTTTGTTCTGAGCAGATTTTGATTTTTTTTCTTTTTTCATTTTTTAAATTGATTTTATTGAGCCATACATTTTTCTCTGCTCCCCTCTCTTTCTCTCCTCTCCCCTTCCACCTTCTCCCATGGCCCCCATGCTCCCAATTTACTCAGGAGATCTTGTCTTTTTCTACTTCCCATGTACATTAGATCCACGTATGCCTCTCTTAAGGTCCTCTTTGTTGTCTAGGTTCTCTGGGATTGTGAATTGTAGACTGGTTTTCTTTGCTTTATGTCTAAAAACCACTTATTGTGAGTAGGTATGATATTTGTCTTTCTGGGTCTGGGTTACCTCACTCAATATGATGTTTTCTAGCTCCATTTATTTGTTTGCAAATTTCAAGATGTCATTTTTTTTCTGCTGTGTAGTGCTCCGTTGTGTAAATGTACCACATTTTCCTTATCCATTCTTTGGTCGAGGGGCATCTAGGTTGTTTCCAGGTTGCTGCTATGAACATAGATGAGCACATGTCCTTGTGGTGCCATTGACAGGTTTTGATTCTCGTAGGCCTGTGCATGGCCTGTCTCTGACCCTGCCTCATGATGTGCCACCAGTTGCTCTTTGCTTTTGTCTTCTACCAGTTGTCACAGTGATCCTGAAGGCACTGACCTACGATGAGAAGCGGGGCGCCTGCAGCGTGGGCGCCAACGTCAGGGATGCCGCCTGCTACGTGTGCTGGGCTTTCGCACGCGCCTATGAGCCTCAGGAGTTGACTCCTTTCGTGACTGCCATTTCCAGGTAAAGCCTGTTGGTTGTGCTGAGGGGTGATGATGCCATGAAGGAGATTTACCTCAGGCAAACGTCCCATCTGCCTCGAACTGCTCTCCTCAGATAACCCGTTCTCAACAACTACCTGCCAGTCCCAGCATTGCTGGAATCTTGTGGAATGGGACATGATGTGGGATTTCCCTCTGTGTGCTATGATTACCACTGATTAATAAAGAACTGCTTTGAGCCTATGGCAGGGCAGAACAGAACTAGGCAGGGAAAGCTAGGCTGAATGCTGGGAGAAAGAGGGCAGAGTCAGAGAGAAGCCATGTAGCCCCGCGGAGTCCGATGGAACATTGCTGGTAGGCCTTTGCTGATAGACCACGACCTCGTGGTGATGCACAGATTAATGGAGATGGGTTAAATTGAGATGTAAGAGTTAGCCAATAAGAAGCTAGAGCTAGTGGACCAAGCAGTGATTTAAATAATACAGTTTCTGTGTGATTATTTAGGGACTAAGCCGCTGGAAACCAACAAGCGGCCTCCTTACAACAGGGGCAGGATCTGCTGGTGGGGAGATAGGGTTCCAAGCACCACTGTCCAGGAAAACAAATGGGCTCTGGGTCCCACTTCAGGGAGATGCCATGGAACCGAGTAAAGCTCAGTCACTGGAATACCATGGAACCCCTTCTGCTAGTGACCCTGGAGCCTCCAGCAGCTGTCCCACAGTGTGCTGAGGACAGAGCAAGCCATAGGCCTTGTCCTAGTGAGCATGAATAGACTTCGACAGAGAGGACCCATTACGACGTTCACACCATGATAAATACGATGAGCTGCTTGGCACCCTCTCTTGACTTCTCAGAAAGAAACAGAATGAAGCTCAAACTCAAAGAAAGTTGGTTCCCCCTCCCACCCCAGTGTTATGTGCCAATTGCTGCTCAAAACTGAAGAGACACTTGTACTGAGGACCCATTTGTCCTGCACCTTTCAAAGGGATAGGAAATCAGGCAGAAAAGCCCTGGTACTATCCCAGAGGCGTGGAGCTCCAGAAGCCACTGAACTCATATTTAGAGCCTACAGACCCAAGCTACTACCCCTGCACGTGGGACTGCACTCTTCCATGGCCAGAGGTACTGGAGTCTGGTGACCCAGCACCCGTCACTCCACTTCTAAGGATGCTTCCGTGCCTCACAGAGGTCTCCAATACTGTTTATATCACAAGTTGCTGAATGAAGGTGAGGTGCAAGTCTACTGGTCACACAACTTGGGAAATCAGGACAGACAAAATCAGCCTCAGAAAAAAACCCAGATATTTCTATATTCCAGAACTCTGGAAGTGTGAGCTAGGACCCCAAGTATCATCCCCATGGTGCTACTCGCCCCTCACCTCATTCCAAGGCACACCTCCAGAATATTCCTCCTGGACTTCTCAGCTGGAACTCCCTGCTCTCAGAAAGGAGCATCTCAGGACCTGTATCATTTTATGGGGCATAAGCACATACTGACGGTGCACCACTCATAGGAACATGACATAAGCAGGATTACCAGGAAGCTTGCAGGAGCCCAGGTGCACTGCTCACGGGGAACATGACGTAAGCAGGATTGTCAGGAAGCTTGCAGGAGCCCAGCTGTCCGGGGCCTTCTGCTGAGCGTTGGGCCCTGTCCATGGTGGTGACCTCTCTGTTTCCTACTCCACTGCCACACAGATGTGTCCTCTCTTTGCTGTGTATGTGGCTTTGAAGGAGGTTCTTGGAACTGCTTTCTTGTCCTTATCTTCAAATTTCTGGCAGTATACAGTATAAGTAGAAAAAAGGTTTTCTCCTGTGCTCAAGTGTCCCAGAGCCGGGCAGCTTCTTCAGATTGATGGCCTCTTGTTTAGCTCCACAGGGCTCTGTCAGGTGGCTAGCTGCGGTCATTGCCCAGTTTTTTTTCCTGAGGATGAAAAGAGGATAGAGCCTTAAGCAGGAGATGGTGCGAGCCAGGTGTGACGCTGTCATGGCACTGATGAACGCCAGGAGATTGTGAAGGACTGGAAGGGACCTTGGCTCTGATGTGCAGGAGCCTCCTGCTTCGAAGTGAAAACAGTCCTTACAGATCCCACTTAGTTTAACAGTTTTGATCCGAAGGCAGCAGACTTACAGAATGCCATGCCATGCCCTTCCACCTCTCCTGATCCCTGAGGTAGGAAGGCAGGATGGCCTGATGGAGGAATCGGAGTGATGCCAACGGGTGCTGGCCTGCTGGCTTGGGAGCATGTGGCCATGTGGAGAGGCAGTGCATGGCTATCTTCCTGTTCTTTTCTGTTAAATGTGGGTACCCAAGGCCATGCTGCTGCCTTTTGAAGGTAAGAGGTACAAATGAGAGGTTCCTGTCAGCTTCCTCACGGTTGGGAGGCTTCATGGGGCACGTGGTCCGGAGTGAAAAGCCAGTTACCCAGTTCCCACCAGAACACCTGTCTTCACTTAGTGCTGTAGGACTTGTACCACATCCCCGATTGAGCTCCGGGTGGGCTTTGTAAGGGACACGAGCACTCTTTGGAAAACATGGCTGATAGCATGAGGCAGCCCTGAAGTCAGCTGCTGTGACCTGGTGTTGTGGCTGCAGGTGGAGCTTTGGGCTCTGTCCTGTCTTCTCTAATCACATAGAACAGTACGGTGAACAGCTTCCATAGCTGCTAAAGGAACTCGGGACCTTTTGTTTCGGGGTTGTCCTTTCCTGCTCAGGGAAGAAAAGGCAGCTGCACATCAGAGCCGAGGGTCCCTCCCATCCTTCAGTCTCCTGGCGGTTAACCAGTGCCCGGTCAGGGTCACACCTAGTGCTGCACCTGTCCCCTCCTCAACATTCCATCCCCTTTTCATTCTCAGGGAAAAAGCGCACACCAGATGCGCTCTCGAAGGTGGCCCAGATTGAGCTTGGCATGGTCTTTCCAGAGCTTGTGTGAACTGCGATTGCTGAGTGTGAGGTGTCCCGTGGGGAGATGTGAGGTCCTCTTCCTACTGGGTTGAGATTTTGGGTGTGGTGTGGAGAATGCTGCTTCTGTCAGGACTCTGGGTGAGCACAGAAGTGGCCTTGACTTTACCCACAGCTCAGTCTCTGGAATGACCTAACTTTCCTGGCCCGGGAGTAGTTGGTATGCAGCCCTGACTAGCTGTAGTCTTTAGAAACTCTTGTGTTTCTTGGGCCTAGGAGAGGTTGGACTTGCTGACATGTGGGAAAAGCCCGAGGGGTTGATGAGGAGCTCACGCCTGTGTGTTGCACATGGAAACTGCAGCTGTCTGGCCTCAGGTCTGCTGGCTGTCTCTCTCACAGCCTCCTGCTTCTCCTAAGCTGGCAGTCAGCTGCTCTGGAGTTTCTTGTGAGAAGGCCTCTCTGGCTCCTTTGCCCACACCTGCCTCTCATGGGCAACAGTGCCCTTTGGAGCTGAGCTGCTGCAGGTTTCTAGCCGGTCGGACAGGTTCTGAGGAACTTGTGCCTGGCCCTTTCTGGCCCATCTGACTCCAGGCATCAGTGGGGGAGGGCACCTGGTGAGTCAGGTGCGCCAGTGAGCTTGGGGCATGCACTACCTCCCGCCTGGAGCTCTGTGTCTGAGTATCGGTCGGGTGTGCCCTGCAGACTTGCTTGCAAGGTTTGTCATGGGTGACCATGCTCTTTAATTATCAGGTTTTAAGCCCATTAATTCCAGCACATGATAAAATCTTGGTATCTTTACTTTCACAAACCCCTCCGTGTATCCTGTAAAAGTGCAGTTGAGATCCAAATATAGTTCTCAGAATAAACAGAAACATCTGTCAGAAAGAACCAGGGAGGCCTTGGTGCCCGATGCAGAGATAGCCATCAACCCTTTCTAATCTTGGCCGAAGAAACTGGATCAGTTGTTCTTCCCCCTCCCAGTGCTGACTCTGCTTTGAAAATGTTAAGGGCAAATTTTTATTGTTTTGAAATAGTTTTGATCAACTCTGAAAACCATCTTTCCTTGGCTTTGAGCAAACACAGGTGGAGAAAGTCTGACTGTTCTGTGTCACACACCTGGCTTCCTGAAAACCCCAGTGCAGTGGCAGCAAGATGTGGAGCGAAAACACACTGGGATGGCTGTATATCACCTAGAGGAGTCTTTCTAACCAAAGTCAGGATCTGATCTGCAGGAAAGAAAAGAAAGCAAACCTGCTGCCGCTGCCAGGGTGCTCTGCCTGTCACCTTCTAGTGATTGCCTCACCTGAAACTCTTTTGTAAGCTGAGCTCCTGTTGACGTTCACTCCGCCCAGGCACAGGCCCGCCCATGCCAGGGGCAGCTCCTGACTCTCACCTCCACTGTGCAAACCGGCCGGGCAGCGTGGGCTGCCTGTGAACTGCCTGGGATTGGCTCTGTAGGATCTCTTCCTCCAGGGCAAGATTGTCCTGGAAAAAAAAAAAATCAGGAAATAGCAAGCGTTGCTCAAAGCTATGTCTTGGTCTCCTCGGCCTCTGAATGGCCCAGCTCTCTGAGAAGGGAAAGCTGCTGTTGCCAGGACGGGGCCAGCAATCAGGCTCTGACCCCAGAGTACATGAATCTTCTGCTTACGGCTTAGGGAAATTCAATAAAACACAGGGCTTATATTTTAATGCGATTTACAACTTAAAAAGCCATAGATGGACGATGAATTATTAGTCTTCTCTGCGTCAGTATGGAAGTGCTGCCATTTGCCAGGTAGCCGCAAGTAGGCTTGCTTTTGAGTGCTACATAGTATCATACAAATGAAAAAAAGATGAGTTTGGGGCACATGCTGAACTGAGGGATAAGACTGTGGGAAAGCAGAGAAGCAGGCTGAGGCATGCCACTTTCCCTTGGCCTGGAAAAGGATCCCTTCCCGGTGATTCCCGGTGAGCTGTTACGCAGCTTCCCCAGGGAAGTCAGGCAGGTGGGCATACCCACCAGCACCTCTCTCAGATGGGTGCCAGGTGTTGTAGTGACATTCACACAGGGTCACCCTGCCAAGGATGACTGGGGCCCAGGCGGAGGTTAGTACGTATGAGGACAGTGATGTAGGAAGGTGATTTCCTAACCCTTCGCTCTTGAAACATCTTCGTATTTTTAAATACTGCAGTCTTGTTCTGAAGTTAGGAAAACAGTTTTAAGGAAGCTAATCCGGAGCTGGAGAATGGCTCAGTGGACAAAAGTACTGGCTGCTCTTTTAGAGGACTTGAGTTAATTCCTGGCCTTCACGTGGTAGCTCACAACTGTGACTGTAGTCCCAGGGAATCTGAAGCCCTCTTCTGGCTTCTTCAGGCTCAGCACACAGGTGATACACAGACACAAGCAGACACACACACAAACACAAATGAATAAAAAGTTAAAAAAATATTTTAGCCAAGATTAAAGTGTTTAAACACCTTTACTCGTAAGTGCATGCAAATTTGTTTTAATTAATCAGAAGGTGTTACCTACAAAGCAGCATTTTCCAAGTATTGTTACATCTACTTCAGTATAATCTCTCAAGTTTTATGAAACATGTAAATTCTGATTTATGCCTATAATCATAGCACTTGAGAGGCTAAGGCAGGAGACTCACCATGAGTTCAAGGCTCACCTGGGCTACAGAAAGAAAGACTATCAATGAAGCAGTGACTTTTAAGGCATTTAATGCTTAAGGAAAAGCTAACTTGATGGTAGTATAGGAGGCTGTTGATGAGAGTCCTGTAATGGACTCCGACTCCATGTCCCAGTCCTTTTGATTTATGGCTCATTTTGCTTGCTCACACCTTGGAGAGGTCTGCATGGAACAGCCTTTGTATGTTCACTGTCAGAGACCAAGAGGATGGTCGCCAGCAAACTCGCTGCCTCGAGAAGAATAGTTGAAATATCCCTGTGCTCTGAGGAGCGTGATAACTGGGGCTTTTGTGAGCACACAGACCTGTCAAGGTGACTGTGGGAAGGATGGCCCCATAAGGAAAGTTGTTGGGCAGGTCTGCTGCTGCTCCTCCCACTGGATATGGTCCCCATGGGAGGAGCTGCCACTTGGGGCTTCTTGTATTGGTGCTGAGCACAGGAGAGATGCCTTCATTTACGTGTGCAGTACTCCCTCGGCCTCCCACACACCTGAGAAGGACAAGTGGAGTTGGGAGAAGGCCCCAGTAGGGGGTTCCCCTAACTCTACCACCTTATCAGGGCTCATCTGCAGCCATAAAGTTACCTAGTAACCTGTGGAAAGTGTTTTAGGAAAAAGGTAAATTGGGCACAGCCTTGTCCCTAGGAGGAAGGAAGTAAAACATTGAAGCTAAAGCTCAGGTCAGCCTCGCTCACTGCATGCTCATTGCATGCCCACTGCATGCCCACTACATGCCCACTACATGCCCACTACATGTTCACTGCATGCTCACTACATGCTCACTACATGCTCACTACATGCTCACTGTATGCTCACTACATGGTTGGGAAAGTTGAGAATGAGATCGAGAAAGACATACTTGGCTGGTCCTTGATCCATAAATCTCACACCTTGCTGTTTCCTGAGAATATCCCTGGGGCTCCAAGGGATGTAGGGACCAAGGAGAGAAATCCTAGATGGGGAAATGCTTCCCTGAGAAGGGTTCCCCTTGAGGATGGGACCCATGGAAGTAACTGACGGCTGCAGGAGAGGTGAGAGACATGAGATGCGGAGGAACAAGGGCGCTCTAGATTCTGACAGTAATAAAGTTTGTTATATAAGAAAAAGACTTAGTTAAAAACCTGTTGGGTGTCACGAGAGCTGGGGAAAGTTGGTTTGGTGTGGTGGTATTGCTTCTGGCTCTAGAACAAGTTGAGACTTAACAGCTGCCTTCCATGTAGTGTTTCTGTGGTGACTGCTATAATCGGCTGGCTGCCTGTTGGCAGGTCACTCATTGCTATATCAAATACCTGAAGGACACTACCTTGTAGAGAAAAGGCTTATTTTGACTTGTGGCCTGGGTCTGAGGCCAGGAGGCTGTATGTAGTGGTGGCCTTCTTGCATGAGGATCCCCAGAGGTTCCAGTCTTGGTCTCCATCCTGTTGACTTCATCTAATGATACGGACAGTGCTCGCTCTATCGTGCCTCACACTGGGTTGAGGCCTGTGAGCACTGTGGAAGCCATAAGGTTGCGTGCTTCCCAGGGGCAGGCTGCCTGCCAGGCGCATGGAGCTCTGGCTTGCTGTTGGTGTTGTTTGGGAGGCATAGGCAGCAGTGTCTGGGAGTTAGTGTCAGCCACACACTTGTGACCGTTTGTCTGCTGTCAAGTCTCATCCTCTAGAACCTTTTGTCTTTGCATTTTGTCGAGCACATGTGATCCCAGGAGGGCAAAGACATTTTTCTCCAAGGCACTAGAAGCTCAGGACATTTGTTAGGGCTGGGGCTATAACTCTTGCTATCTTCGAGGTCACTGTAGGACCTTTGAGCTTCCCGCTGTCCAAGAGGCTCACTCACAGCAAGTGAACAGTGGGAGGATGTCACATGGCCTGTACCCCTTCCTATGCATGTGGAGGTCAGAAAACAAGCTTGGGTGTCATCAACAGGAGTTCTGTCCACTCCTTTAAGACAGGGTCTCCTGTGGGCCTGGTGTTCAGCCGTTAGGCTAGACTGGCTGGGGTTATTCGCCTGCACTGCCTCACCAACATTTTATGAGGGATCTCATGCAAGACAAGCAGTTTACTGACTGAGTTATTTTCCCAGCCCTTGCATATTTCATTTTAATTAACCATTTTCCTTGTTTTTACAGTGCGCTGGTCATTGCCGCCATCTTTGACCGAAACGTGAACTGCAGAAGAGCTGCCTCCGTAAGTTCCGTCGTCCCCGGAGCATTCCCTTCTTGGAGCTGGGGGTGTAACTGTGGCTAATGTCCTGCAGGTGGGCCTCTATCCCCCTGAAAAACCCATTCCCCACGGCAAAGGAGATCAGAGGACCCAGTAAAGCAGTCGCCATGGTAACATTTGTAGGGCTTTTACTGTGGAATTCATGGGGAAGTTAGGGCTCAAGGCCTCCCTCTAGTGCTGCCAGCTGTGGTGAAATGTCTTGAACAAGTACGGACGAACAGGTTTCTGTTCAGTACCCAGACCAAGTTCAGGGTCGCTCCGGCTCTGCAGGGGAGGAGAAATTTATCCTGTGACTCTACCCTAAATGGCCTGGCAGGACTGGTCCAGGAATGACAGAACAGGGCACTGCAGGTTTGTGCTTCAGGAAGAGCTGTTACTAAGCTGCATTTGGCTCTGCTTTCCTGGCCACATCGGAATGGATCTCCCTGGGTGGGCTTTGGCCTCATAGCTGACCGTGGGCCTTGTGTTTTGAGCTCAGTTACCCAGGTCCCCTGAGATCCAGCTTTTTGGGATTGGTTTGGGTAGACTGTGTGTCAATAGGGGTGTTGACTAGGGCCATTGATGAGACCAAAGTCTCATGAATTACAAGGGGAAGAGACTGAGATGCTGCCCGCGTGGAGATGTTGCAGTTATCTGACTCCACACATAGCTGGCTGCTGTGGTCAGTTACTGAGGCCAGGTCCGTGAGTGCTGTGGGAGGCCACAGCTGATTCAGGCTATGTCAGGAGCGCTGTGGTGTCTTAGCAGTCTGAACCCAAGCCTTCCTTTCATAGATGGGCCAGCAGTTGAACACATTTGGGGTGCTCAGAAACATAGGTGAAGCCTATGGGTGAAACTTGTTCATTGTGAGATGTGTGGATTTGGGAGTTCCCATGATTTGAGCTCTGAGGCCCTGCATTCTCATAGAGACAGACTGAGTAGCATTTGACTGCAGCTGCTCTGAGACTAGGGGAAAGGGAGGGTGCTGGTGCACAGGTCTCCAAACTGTGGGAGGCCTGTGATTGAGTAGGCAGTGTTGCAGGTGTGGGTGGGATTTGTTAGTACCAATGAGATCTCCATACCATGGGAGGCCTGTGATTGAGTAGGCAGTGTTGCAGATGTATCCTGTGGGATAGGAGCCGGGCCTTAGAGTAGGAAGGAGAGGAGACCCCCCTCAGTCATGGAACTGAGGAAAAGGGAGACTTACCCGGCTCTGCATGTCAGCAGGGGCTTCCTGTTTAGCAGGCTGAGAAGTTCTTTCCTGTAGCTTCTTTCATTTTATTCATATTTTAAAATCATGAATAGGTATTCGACTTTGATGTAATCAAGTGGTCTTTGGCCTGTGTCCTTTTATGTGGTGTACCGTGTGGTTCCTTTTCAGACTTTGAAATAACCCTTCCTTTCTAATGTAATTTCCACTCGCCTGTAGGCCCTTCTTTATGTTGGACTCAGTTTGTTAGTGTTCTCCGAAAAAGAACTTCTGAATCTGTTCATGGGGGCTATTAATCTTTTGTTCAGGTATTTTTGTCTGCAGTTTGAAGATGAACTAATACATTGAGGGTGCAGAAGTATTTCTCTTTTATTTTGTACCATAGTTTTTAAGAGATTGATGTTTTTCTACTTTAATTATTTGGTAGTATTTGAAGAACCTATCTAGGCATTTTTTTTTTTTTTTTGAAAAAGTTTCCACTGTTTGCTTTTGTTTGTACTGATTACAGAGTTGCCCACCTTCCTTGTTTCTCAGGTCAAGTCTTCTGTGTTGTTAAGTGTAAACGGAGACCGTTCTTTCATTCCCAGCCGCCCAGACCTGAATAATCACATAGAAACTATATTAATTACAACACTCTTTGGCCAACTCTAGCTTATTCCTAGCTCTTACATCTTAAATGAACCCATTTCTGTCAATCTGTGTATCGCCAAGAGGCTGTGGCCTACTGGTAAAGTTCCTAAGGTTCCAGCGTGTCCTTCTCCTTCGGCAGCTACATGGCGTCTCCTTGACTCTACCTACTCTCTCTATATATAGCTCTGTTTGGATTTCCCACCTGACTCTACTCTCTGCTAAGCCATTGGCCGAAACAGCTTTATTCATTATCCAATAAAAGCAACCCACATACAGAAAGGTATCCCACATCAGTTAAGTGAAGTAACTTGGTGTTATCAAAGGCTTCAACTGAATTCATATTCTCTGTCACAGTGGTCCCTGTCTTCAGTTGCCTGTCCCAAGTGATGGAGTTTCTGTCTGTTACCTGACCTCTGGCTGCACTGCAGTAGAAATGCATGCAGGCCCTGAACCTAGTTCTATATATCCATTGCTGCCTCAGCCATGTGTTTGGCATGGGATCCAGCATATTGGGTACGCATATGTGAAGACCTACTATGGAGGGCTTAGAAGGCCTTGCTGTTCAGTACTGGTCATGAGATCTCAGCCAATGGGTCATGCTTCTGGTGTTCTGGTCAGGTGATCTTTGAGGTCTTGCTGTCTCAGGATGCCTGACTGTGGTCTTTCATGACTGCTGTTGGCTCTCTGCCTACACCTGCACCTAGAAGCAACCAGAATGCAAGCAGCCTGCCCAGAGTCCTTTAAAACTATCATCAGCCCAGAGGGACTCCACTTTGTCTGCAGTTAGTAGGCCCAGTGCTTTCTTGGGAGGTCTTAGTGGTCTTGCTCTCATAGCTGATAGTCAGTAACTGAAAGTCTATATTAAATCTGAACTAATGTATTTTTGTGTTTTCTTTATTGTTTTCTGTAACCTAGGACATATTTATGAGAAACAGTAATAAAATCAAAGCCCTGTGACTTTATGTGACCTGGGATGAAGTGAAACCATCATCCATCATTATGTCCCGGCAATGCGTAAGCCTGCAGGGGCAGCCCGTTGATGGCGGCTCTCCAGTTGTTCCTATCCTGGGCGGTCCTCCATGTTTGTGTTATTGCGATACCCAAGGTTCCAGCATTCTTTGAGTCTTCTCTTGCCCTATCCTGTGCACTCCTCCAAGCAGTGCTGTCTTCAGGTATCTGCCGTCATTCATTCTCATAACACGGCCAAAGTATCTCAAGCGCCATTGCCATATCCTGTAGTTTACTTCCTTCTGCAGATGGAGATGTTTCTTAATGTCACCCACCATTACACAACCTGTCTCTTCATGTGACGTCTAGGATCCTCCTGAGACATGCCATCTCAAACACATGAAGCCGCTGTTCTGACGGGTGTTTCATTTTCTGGGTTTCAGAATTGTAAAGAAGGCAACTCAAGACAAGCATCTCATATACTTGTAATTTTGTTGTTATGTCTCCTGCTGACCAAACTTTTCCTAGTGCCTGCAATGCAGCCCTCGCTATCCCGATCCACCTCCGCCTCTTGATGTCTAAAATAGTTCCCTCCTTTGAACTGAGGTTTCCTCCCAGATAGACAAAGTTGACTGTTTGCTTGAGATTCTGATTCTTTTTTTTTTTTTTGGTTTTTCGAGACAGGGTTTCTCTGTCTTTGGAGCCTGTCCTGGAACTAGCTCTTGTAGACCAGGCTGGCCTCGAACTCACAGAGATCCACCTGCCTCTGCCTCCCAAGTGCTGGGATTAAAGGCGTGAGCCACCACTGCCCGGCCTGATTCTTTATTACAACATTAAAATCCTTGTGCACCCTTCCCAAGTGTTGTATATCAGTCTTCTTGATGTTTACTTTCATACAAGGCTTTCACTGACTTCCAGCACTCTATTTCCCATGGCCTGCAGCTGGTTTGGACTTTCAGCAAGTAGTGCTGTATCGTCAGTGAAACACAAGTTACTGATTCGCACACCGCCTATCTGCACACCTATCTCCTCATCCTCCAGGGCTCATGCTGTTATTAATCCCAGGAATATATTAAAGAGCGTTGGAATGGGACACATCCCTGCAACACTCCTATGATTGTCTTAAACTGACCACTTAGTTCTCCACAGACTTTGACTGATGCAAAGGTATCTTTATAGGCATTTTTTAGTATCCTTATGGTTTTCTCTGTGTACCTGTAGAACCTCATTGTTTTCCAAAGTCCTTTCTTCCAAATGCTATCAAATGTCTTCCTGAAGTCGATATAACAGACGTGACTTTTCCAAATTCTTCGTATTTTTCTGCCAGTTGCCTCAAAGTGAAGATCTGATCAATTGTGCTCCTGTTAGCTCTGAATGCTCACTAGGCCTCTGCTAGGATTTCCTCTGTTCTGCCCTTGATCCTTTGCAGGATAATGGGGAAGGTCTTGCTGCTATGGCACAACAAACTAATACCCCTGTAATTTGAGCAGTCCAGCTTGTCCTTCTTGTGTATGGGAATTATGGCTGAGTGCTTCCATTCCGTGGGAAACACTTCGTGTTCCCATGTCTCTCTGAAGAGTCTGAGAAGTGCCTTGGCCCCTGAGCCTACTGTAGCCGCCTCCAGCTCCTCCACTGTGATGTCATCCATTCCCGGACCTGTGTTTCGCTGTCTTGATAACTTCCTCTGTCTTTCTCCTGTCTATATTTAATGTTTTCTCATCGTCTCTGATGTTTGAGTGTCTGCTGAAGTGTTTCTCGTTGTAGTCTGCGTTGACAGCATTAGGGTCATGGTCCAGGGTGTCACAGTACTGTCTCCATCTTGGCTTTACTTCCCCTGGTTCTATTAATAAATGACCTTGCCCATCTTTAATCACCCAAACTGAGGAGCATATCTGGCAGTTATCAGTCTGATAGCTTCACAGACAAGATGTGTTATTGTGGAGTCTCGCCTCTTTGACCTCCCGCAGGGGTAGTTGTGTTTGCTGCCTGCGGGGTTTCTCTTTAGTTTCCTTCTCCCGCCAGGTTGACCAACTCTGTAGTGAGCCATTCCACTGGTGTTGCCCTTTTTGCATAACCAAGCATCTCCTGTAGAGCTCTTTTGATTTTCTTCCATTCACTTTCTATGTTTGTAAACAGTTGTTTAATGATTTCCCTCATCTTGTTTTCAGCGATTCTCTCTCCACACAGCTGGGTCCATTGTTTATGTTCCATCGTCCAGGTCGTCTTGCCTGGCATGCCTCTCCTAGGTTTCAGTTGAATGTTGGCCATAGAAGTTGGTGATCTGACCCCAAGTCAGCTAGGAAATGATTGCCTGTTTTAGAGGCCAGATAAGAGTTTCCTGCTGACCAGATTGTGGTCAGCTTGGCTGTGTGTGCGTTTGTCAGGGGATTCCTACGTCCTGCATCTTGATGGTTTGGCCTGCTTGAATTTTGGGTTGGATGTGTACAAATCAGTTACATAGCAGAGGTCAGGCAGTCATTCCCCGCTGGTTCCTTTGTCTGAATCCATATGTTCCCACAACACTATAGTCCGTTCTTTCTCCGGATCCCACTCTTGCACCGAAGTCACCCATAATCATTAGTGTCGTTCTTACGCACCCTGCTGACCTTGTTCTGTAGATCTGTGTAGAAACTGTTGCTGACATCATCTGCTTCTGCTCTTGGCGCGTATGCCTGTATGATAGTTACTGGTTGTGTCATTGTCTGAAATCTGGCTGATACCATTCGGTCACTTACAGGTCTGTACCCGAGCAAGCATTTTTGGGCCAAACTGGATAGCACTAAAGCTACTCCTGCTGCGTGTTTTCCCCTCCACCTGAGTTGATAATCTTGTATCAGTTTACTACAAGTTCTTGTGTCCCTGTCCAATGCATTTTTGTCACTCCAGTGACGTCCCACCTGAACTGACTGAGCTCATGCATGAACAAGCCGGCTCCCCCGACTGTGTTTAGTGTTCTCATGCTACAGGGCCCTGTTGTATGACAGGACTCTTTCTGGCGTGAGAAAGTGTCTTTCCTGTCCATTTCTGTTAGCTCCCTTCCCTGCTTTTGGCTTTAAGAAAGACGCGAAGCATTTGTCCTGCGCTTAGGACATGGAGGTCCTGGGCCCTGGTCAGGTCCTGGGACTTTCACCCAGGTGTTTCTGTTGAACTTGTCCATGTTGGGTTTCGTGATCTGAGTTGATGAGGGTGATTGACAAGGTGAAATAAAACTCTGTAAATCTGTTTTTTTCTTGAAGCTAGAACCCTATTGAACTAACAAGAAGTTCCTTGTGTTCCTTTTGAATCCAACACTGTTTATATAGTGATGTGGGATTTAAACACAGGAAAACGAGGGATGCCTTTACTTGAGGCCCATTTGAAAACATAAAGGTTCTGAGTACACCAAGAACTTCTTTCCAGGAAGCTGCTTCTTCAGGCAGCTGCTGCTCTGGGTGCTGTTTCAGCCTCTTGGCCGACGCCTTTCCAGGGTTTCTCTTTCTGGGTATGTGAGATGTCTGTTTACCTGGCCAGGATCCAGGAGGTGTTAGAAGCGAAGTGGACAGACGTTGCCAGTTCCCTGGCCTTACCTTGCTGTTGTTGGTGACCCCTCTCCTCTTCCTGGGTCCCTTGTCTGGTGGCCACAGTCCTTCTAAGGCAACAGGGCCTTTGGTTTGGATCCTCATGAGAGCTTCCTGTTGCTGGCTCTCTCTGGTGGTCAGCATGCAGGGGCTAGACAGTAGAGTCCTGGCATTGCTTGGTGGAAAGGATCAGTTACACACTGCTAACTACTCTAGGTTTTGCATGCTAGATAGTGTCCAGCAGGCTAGATGTGCTGCTGACTTGCGAAGAGGCCTTTTCCTCTCCTGAGGACAGGCAGTGGGCGTGGCCCTCATGGGAAATTTGGGATGAGGAGTGGAGAGGAAATGGGGGGGGGGCGAGGAAAGGGGAGAGGGAGAGAGGGAGGGGGGATGGAAGGGGGAAGGCAAGAGGAGAGACTGAAACCCAGTATTTTATTTAATGTTTCATTCCAATTGTTTCTTGTATTATTTTTTGCCTTTTATTTTGATATTCTTGATGTTCACATAGAGTTATGAGAATACAGTAAAATCTGCTTACCCCTTTCCCCGGGTCTCTACTGGGTAACATCATAGGTTATGTCCACCAACTCAGTAGTCTCAGTCAGAACTCTTGGTGTTCTGTGTCCTGTGTGTGTGGTTAGCTCCGTATGTCTGCATCTCATACATATGTGAACCCCCTACAGTTAAGGCACACGGTAGTCATCACCACAGAGGTCCCTGCGTGACCCTTTTAAACATGGCTGCTTCTCTTCTTCACTCTAGCAATCTTCAGTCTACCTTTCCAGCTTTGTGGTGCTGTTCCATTGCTGAAGCGGCAGCCTTTGGGTCTGGTCTCACTGAGTGTGTTCAGTACATTGGGAAATTCCCGGTCTTCACCTTCTCCTGTGAGTGGGTTTGTTCTCTAACGGAGTCTTGGCTTTACCTGTAAACGGGCTTCTGGGTTGCTGCTGACCCGGGATTATTATGAGCACTTTCCTACAGATTGTGTATGCCTAGAGTTCAGTTTCTGGGTCCCACCTTCCAGTATGCTGCTAACTGTTCCCCAGGGCGACTGTACTATAATGTGTTCTCCTCATCTTTGCCGAGATGTGGCGGGGTCGCCTGGTTTCTTCCTGCTCTTACTTTTTGCTGATATGTGTGTGGTTTTAGTTTCCTTTTCTCTGATGATACTGAGTCTGTTTGGGGTGCTCATTTGCTTTCTGTGTCCTCCTGAGTAAGATGTATTCTCAAGTCTCAGTCATTGTCTGATTGCATTGTTAGTCCTCACTGTTGAGTTTTGAGAGTTCTTTATGCTCTCTAGATATTTGGCCTTTATATTGGAGATGTGTGTGGCAGATCCCTAGTCTGTGGTTGTTTTCATCCTTCTCTTAGCGTCTCCATGGACAGGAGTTTGCTATTGGAGTGAGGTTTTTGTCTTATTTATCTCTCTTTGGTGTGTGCTCTCAGTATCAAGGCTGCTAGCCACTTGACCCTGTTCCCCGCATTCTTCTGTTTTCTGTCTGAGCTGAGCGTATATTCTGAAGTGATATCCACGTGGTCTGTCTTCATATTGTGTTGGGTGATCCCCTAATCTTTTATTTTCAAGATTGTTTCCACATAAATCTTGAATTAGTTCTTACCTTGTGTGGAGATGTCCCTGCTTATAATTAAGGTGACATTGCATCTCTTTACATTACCCTTTTCCTGTGTTTCTTTCTTTCTTTAAGAATTGACAGCTGGGTAGTGGTGGTGCACGCCTTTAATCCCAGCTTTCAGGAGGCAGAAGCAGGTAGACTTTTTGAGTTCAAGGCCAGCCTGGTCTACCAAGCAAGTTCCAGGACAGGCAGGGCTACACAGAGAAACCCTGTCTCAAGAAAACAAAAACAAAAAGAAAAAGCAACAATCCCCCCCCCCTCCCCAATAAAGGAAAAAGAATTGACTGTAAGGAGCTGGAGCAGTAGCTGCTCTGCCAGAGAACCCCGCTTTGATTCTCAGCACCCACACAGTAGCTCACAATTGCCCCTAACAACGTTCTGAGGGGTCCAACTTCTGACCTCTCTGGGCACTCGGCATGTGTGTGATGCACATACACACAGGCAGATGAAACACTCATATATATATATATAGTAACTCTTCAAGGGGGGCAGTTTGCAAAAATTACAGAAAGGCCAGCAGCAAAAAGCAGCTCCTTTCCCATTTTAGAAGCGTGTAGGAGCCACCTGAGGGCCAGTCACCGAGTGTCTCCACCCTGCCATGAGGCTCTGTCCTGGAGTTGTTTCACATTTCTGTCCTGGTGCTTTACCAGTCCAGTGGGGTTGATGCATAGATTCTGGGGTCCCATGACTCAGTTCTCTTTCTGTATATCTCTGCTTGCTCTCAACCCCCTACCCCATGCTGCAGTGTCTCCTTAGGTAAGGGGTGTTTCTTCTGCCACCACTGCCCTCCCCTTGTATCTGTTCTCACCTCTGCTTGCCAGGATGGTGCATGCCGCATGGTTGTGTGCAGCTTTGCTCCAGCTCCCTAGGGTCTCTAATCCTGGTTGGAACTCAGCTGTGGATGCTTCGGGGAAGTCGCATGAGGTTTCCTTGTCACTTTGTTCAGACAGTCCTAGGTAGGGCAGTGTGCGAGACAGGAAAAGTTGTCTCCACAGAAAGAGGAGTCACCTGAAGAAGGTTTACCTAGAGGTTCTAATCTTGTTCAAGTTCACACGGAGCATTTTCAGCCCCGATTCTGTGCCTGGCATGTAGGGCTCCGGGAGTTCAGAGCTGGCTGGAGTCAGGCCTGTGCCCTCTAGGAGGCAGCCCTGAGGTGTTGGGGGTGGTGGGGGAGTGGTGATCTTGGAGTTTGTTCTCAGGGTTGTGTTCTGGGACCTTCGTTGGGGTGTTAGTGTGAAAGTGTATTTCCAGGGAAAGGCCAATCTCTTATTATATTTGATTTTGTAAATGGAATTCTTCAACTGTGGTTTTAAAGAGGACCAGGACATAAAAACAGTGACAAACCACCCTCAGGGCTTTGGTCCGCTAACAAAGAGGACTTTTATTTAAAAAGTAAAGCCATGGGTCATTTACACTGAGCTGTGTTTGTTTTGAATTTATCTTCTGATGTTGAGCAGAAGCAAACCTCACTCACCTGCTCTGTTTGTTCTTTTTGCTCCTTAGGCTGCCTTCCAGGAGAACGTGGGGAGACAGGTATGGCCACTTTATAAATCTTTATTTCTGAAACTTCCTGTAGGCTTAGAGGTGGGAATTTTGACAACTTTGGTTTCATATCTTCTTATACTATTGGGTGTGGGTAATGAATGTGCCTCACCTCAGAGCAAGCTAATAAACATGGTAGTTCTGATCCCAGGCCCACCGTCATGTGACCAGGAAGCTCTGGGAGGCTCTGTATGAGTGTTTTATGCAGGTTAGGATCTTGCTTCACATGTTGCTGTGGGCTGTACCTGTGCCAGGCACCAAGCATCTTATCCTGGTGAATGAGTCCTTGGATCCTGTAGGCCTTGTCCCGTCCCTAGTGTTTTGCTTGGAGGCCTCACCTCCCAAAAGCCTTGACCCTACAACTGCCCTCGATACTCACGAGTATTGTAGCTGTGCTTGGGGCCACCTAAGCTGTGCCCGTGACTCTTGACACCCATCACAGGCCTTGAAAGTAGGATTTAGATTCATTCATGAGTAAGATTCTGGCACACTGAAGTGTGTGGTCAGTCTCGCAGGAGGCTGGAGAGGGGCTAGTGCAATGCTTTTCAACCTATGGGTCGTGACCCCTTGGGAGCTGTGGAATAACCCTTTCACAGGGCTTACCTAAGACCATTCGAAAACACGCTATTTACATTGTGATTCATTACAATAGCATACATGAAGTAGCAACAAAAATAATTTTATGGTTGGGGGTCACCACAGCATGTATGAAAGGGTTATAGTGTTAAGAAGGTTGAGATCCTACTGGGTTAGGGGCTGGGGAAAGTGGCAGCTACCAAGATGAGTCTGAGCAGGGAGGAGAGTCCCTGAGGAAACCGCTAAGAATGATTGCTCTAGGGTTTCATGACAGAAGTGGCTGGGGTGCTTCTTAATGTTACAAGGGAGGAAGCTCGAAGGATGGCCAAGCCCTGCCGTGGTGTGCAGAGTAAGCTGTGTGTGATTGATGATAGGGTTAAAGGCGTGTAGACCAGGATGGATGTGCTCTGGGTCAGAGAACCTATACGTGGCTTGGGGCGTGAGGTAAGAATATTGTAGTAGAGGATGCTGGGAGTAATTCAAGAAGTAACAGGACTGCCCAGTGACCTGGGTGGGGGTGTGTGTGACTCTTCCTCTTGGGCTGGATTGCTGGAGATGTAGGTCTTGACATCAGAGTTGATTAGATCTTGCCTGCCTCCATCCTGGCCAAGACCCCCAAGTGGCTAGCTGAGTGGGCTCTCCAATAAGTAGGGGTGTGTGTGTGTTGTGTGTATGTATGCTCCGTTCCCTTGCTGTATCCTGGGGGGATCTTGGCATGTTAGGGTTATCCCTTGGGCAGCTGCTGTGTCTAGCTGAGTAGCTGTGGGACTGCTTGGAGTGTTCCTGAGTCACAACTCTGAGCAGGTGGTTTTCCCAGATGCCACACTTATGTGTGTTCAAGCAAGACATCTGGGGTGCAGGGTGCTGAGGCCCCTTTCTGGAGAGGAGAGGACAGCCACATGATTGGCAAGCCTTAGCCTATTGCTTATTCTGTTTTTGGGTGATATAGGTACTGCTGCCTCTCCTTCATCTTGGTCACAGTCAAACCTGGGCTCCGCTTGCCTGCTCAGTCATGAGCTGTTGTCCTTTTGTGAATCATTCTGCAGTGGTACCTTTGCCTGGGCTGTGGGCTTCTCTCTCGTTGTTATGTATGACGCTGGGGGCTCTGATAAATAATTACCTAATCCAAAGCATTCTGTTAAAGCAGAAAGTTTTACTTCTGTAGAAAGGTGCAAAAGCCACCTTTATCTTTCTGGGGTTTTTTGTTTTTGTTTTTGTTTTTTTGAGACAGGGTTTCTCTGTGTAGCTCTGACTGTCCTGGAACTCGCTCTGTATAGACCAGGCTCCAGGCTGGCTTCAAGCTCACAGAGATCCACCTGTCTCAGCCTCCGGAGTGCTGGGGTTAAAGGCACACACCACCACCACCTACTGCAAAGCCACTCACAATCCAGCAAGCACGCACACCCAGTGGGGGTCCTGCTCTGATTTTTAACCCCAAGACAAGGGGCTCTGTGCCTCACAGACTGAGGGGTTAGAGCTTGGCCTCATATTCCTTGATTGGTTGGCTCATTCAAATTGGACTAGCATTTTGCTAGGGAGAATGAAATCTTGACTTCAAGAATATGCTAATCTCGAGAAATTCTAGCCAGATGATGTCTTTACCACTTTTTTTAAACATGGAATTTCCTCTGTCTTCTTTTACCTCTGATAAAAAGACATTTACATCTCTCTATCATCAAGCAATATAAGAGCACACAGAGTGTGCACCGTGCAGAGCCAGGACACCTCAGTTCATCACTCTCCTCATGGGCAGAGGCTGGGACAGCCTTTCTAGTTCTCAGGGGGGCTGTTTGCTGGGTAGTGCTTGTGAAGTTGTGAGGTGTTAGTGATCCGGCTCCAGGATTAGCTTACGGAAAGGGTGAAGGCATTGAGGCTGAACCTGAAGGTGGGCTACATGGAGGAAGGAGTTGCTTCCTCTGCTGGCTGTGTTTTCCAGCCCTCTCAAGTCTGTGCTTGGGGTAGCCCTAAGGACAGAGGCCAGGGAGCAGGAGGCTGACAGACTTCAGATGTTTTACTTAGGCCTGGGTTTTCAGCTCTTCTGGATTCCAGATGGACTGTGCATCCTACCATGTCCTCAGAATAACTGGCATTTATATGTAGCTCAAGGACTAAACTTTTGTTTCTGATACTGTCTCCGTGGTAATAAATAGCCTGAATTCCATGTAGAAATTCAGACTCAGATTGTCAATGTCTTTATTTTGTATCAGTTTCTTTGGATCTGGTCACACACACACATATGCTGGTAGATGCTCTTCTGAGACTGTTGTGAGCTGGCTGTGCAGAGGGCTGACACCTTTCCCTGTGTGAGATGCAGGGATGCGGCAGGCAGGTGCTGGTGGTGGGTACCTGCCGCTTTTCTTGGCTTTTACTTAGGCCAGCTTTGTGCATAGATTGGGAACCTCATCTGCTTTTGGCTACAACTTTCTATATTTACATTTTTAAATAAAGTTTTTTTTATTTAGTTTCTAGATTCTTTTAACCACAAGGGATAATATTAAGGGAGTACCAATAATGTGATGGTTTTTGGGCTGGAGTTCCACTAGGCGTATTCTTGGTAGGTGAGAATGGAGGGGCCTGCCTCTTGTTTTGGAGTTTGGGGGACTGATGGCTGCTTTCCTTGAATCTCTTATAGGTTGGCCATTAGCCCTGAAAGTGGCTGTTTCTATCAGCCTCATCCGTCCTTATGGCAACTAGTAAGTTGTGGGCCCATGTCCACGTTTCAGAGCCAGGCAGGGGCTTGCCTGTCTTTCATTGGCCTTTCTGCTCCAACAGCTGTGGAATTGAGGGCTATGTTGTCGTCTTTGTGACCAGAAAGGGGGACCAAGCTCCAAGAGTTGGGACCCGGTACTTGTTTGTTTATTTGTCTGTTTATTTATTTATTGATTGGTTTTTTGAGGCAGGGTTTCTGAGCCTGTCCTGGAACTAGCTCTGTAGACCAGGCCGGCCTCGAACTCACAGAGATCCGCCTGCCTCTGCCTCCCGAGTGCTGGGATTAAAGGCGTGCGCCACCACCGCCCGGCCCCCACGGTCTTTTTAAAGGAAGGACTTTTATAGCACTTGAAGTTGAAACAGTTTGAAGAACGGCCAGGCAGGCAGGATGAACACAGACAACGAGCTGGGCACCCATGAGCCGTGTGGCTCAGCTTGAGCCGCTCTGTTGTGTGCGTGCGTGTGTGCGTGCGTGTGACCGGTGATTTCAGGTCCCATTTCTCACCTTCCCTATTTTCTTCACTGTTACTTTTTCAGGGTACTTTCCCTCATGGAATTGATATTTTGACGACAGCAGACTATTTTGCAGTTGGAAACATATCTAACTGTTTCCTTGTGATAAGGTAAGTTTTAACGTGTGTAACAAGGCTTGGGTGTCAAACATCAGCTTCTGCTGTTCCCTGGCTCATTATACTGTGGTCTCCTTGGTGTGACTGTAGCTTATGTTGTAGGAAGGACAAATTGAAGCGTTCTCGGACCAGTTTTATACTCCGTGGTACACACATGTGTGCTCACACGTCACTGTCCGGGGTTGGTACCGTATGGGGAATAGCCACAAGCACAGTTACACGTGTCCTTCCCACCAGGTGTCACAAATGTATTGGTCTCTCAAAATGACATTTAGGATTTGAAATGACTGTGCATTTTTTTCTCTCTCAATAAAAAAGTGTGTCCAAGTTGAAATTATCTGATTATCAGATCAGTAAGATAGATTAAGAAATCAGGTCAAGGAATAAATGTTTAACACCCTTACCTGCTGTTTTCAGAAATCACATCAAATTATTTTTACTTGCATAACTTAAGTACTAGGGACTAGTTTTGCACTGTAATGCTAACGTGGAAAGGGGGTGCTTTATGAAGTAGTTTAGTTGATGTGAGTTAGGAGAAACATGCCAAGTACATTTTTTGAAAGTTCCTGATTATTTTATGCCCTGGGGGTAGATTTCCTAACAGCCCTGCTGTGCAGACCGTGCAGAATTTACAGTCTCCATAACCAGCCTTGTCAGACTTTAAACAAACAAACAAACAACTAAATAACTAAAATCAAAACCACGCGTGCCCACAGCAGCTGCATGCCATTGCCCCTCGGCCCAGCGCTTCATGTCTCGTGTCCATGTGTTCTTTGTTTGCTGAGTATTAGCGCTTCGATTTTGTATGTGAAGTCCTGTGACCCCTTTTCTGGAGTTTCCTAGGTAAAATAGATGGTTGTTAAGTTGGACTTGTTGCTAAGGTTTCTTTCCACATCAGTTTAAAACTTAACCATATTATTACTCTGTTCTGTAAAAATACAAAGAGCGTGACCTAGCCCCAGCATGCTTCTTCTCCAGCACCTTGGGCCCGTGTGCTGCTCTGGTCTGAGCAGTGGACCAGCTGCTGTCTTCTGAGGACCGCCCAATAGCAGGCTTCACTGCCTCCTCGCACAGGGCCTCCGACCAGGGTCTCATCTCCCTGACTACATCCTGGAGGGTAGGATTTACAGGGATAATAGCAGGGGCTAGGCTTGTAGAAGGCCATGACTGAGAGCCAGGTGTGGGGTCAAGCAAGGACGTAGCTTGGTCTGAGGTCCCTGTGCTGGATAATTTTATTGTTAGTTAAAAGCTAAGGTCATCCAAGAGGAGGGAACCACAATTAATGTCTCCATACAGATCCGGCTGCAGGCAATCCTGTAGAGCATTTTCTTAATTAGTGATTGATTGGAGAGGGCTCAAACCAATTATAGGTACTGACATGCCTGGGCTGGTGGTCCTGGGTTCTGTGAGAAAGCAGTCTGAACAAGCCATGAGGGGCAAACGAGTAAGCGGGACTCCTCCATGGCCTCTGCATTAGCGCCTGCCTCCGGATTCCTGCTCTGTTTGGGATCCTGTCCTGACTCCTTGGACGATGAGCAGTGCTGTGGCAGTGTAAGCCGAGTAAACCCTTTCCTCCCCACGTTGGTTTGGGCCTGGTGTTTTTCACTGTAGTAGAAATCCAAACTAAGACAACCCCTAAATGCAATATGCTTGTTCAGCACTGTGCGGTGATGGAAAGTCATCTGGATTGGTCCACGAGACGATGAGGGTGCTTGATGGGTACTCTGCTCTGTCTGTGTTGAATTTGGGGGCCCGGGACAGTCCTCAATTGGGACAGAATCCAGGCTGTTATAGAGGAGCTTCCTCTGAGCTAGCTGTTCTGCTCTGTGGACCGGAATCAAAAGTGGAGGAAGGTCCCTTGGGAAGATACTAGGTGAGACCCAGAGCTGGTGCTCATCTCTGCGTGTTGAAGACGCGTGGTAGACTGTGCGTGTTCAGCACATGTCTTGATGTATCGTGGTGTGAGCAAATCTGTAGCGTTCACATGGTGAAGGGCATAGTGAGGCCTGTGGCCCTCAGCTCTGTGCCTGGTGGGAATTTGAGGATTCTTCTGTAGCACGATTAGTAAAAACCCAGAGACAGATATCAGGGTTCAGCCTGAAGGTCAGAAAAGCAAAACAGCCAGCCACTGGCTGTTACCTCTACTTAAGTCCGAAATGGTGGTCCTGCCTCTAGGAATCCTTAGAATGAGACTGAGAGTCTCTCTTCCCATATTATATTCCTCTGTAGTGCTGGGATTAAAGGCGTGCACCACTACTGCCCAGTTTCCGTGGCAAATTAGTGTGGCTGCTGGGATTAAAGGTGTGTGTCACCACTGCCTGGTCTGTTGGGCTGGTCAGTGTGGCAGTTTTACTCTCTGATCTTTAGGCAAGTTTTATTTGTTAAAATACAAATGAAATATCACTAGAATGTTTGGAGGTATCGTTTGTTGTTGGGGAATATTATTTTCAGGTGTGTGACTTCTGTTTACGCTGCATTTGTTTAACTCCGTACTGGCCTGTCTAAAACACCTGATGGTCCTAATAAAGAGATGAATGGCCAATAGCGAAGCAGGAGCAAGGATAGGTGGGGCTGACAGGCAGAGAGGATAAATAGAAGGCGAACCAAGGACAAAGAGGAGGAGGAGCCAGACAACAAGGAGAGAGGAGAGGAGGACGTCAGAGGCCAGCCACCAGCTACACAGCAAGTCTTGAGTAACAAGGAGAGAAAGGTATAGAAATAGAGAAAGATAAAAGCTCAGAGGCCAAAGGTAGTCCAGATAATTTTTAAAAAAACTGACAAGTAACAAGCCATGCTAAGGCTGTGCTTTCATATAACTAAGTGTAAGCCTCCGTGTGTGTGATTTATTTGGGAGCTGGGTGGCGGACCCCTCAAAAAACCAAAAGAAGACGACGTCATACAACAGTTTATATTATTTTTTAACTGGACTGATATATTCTTTCAGTGTCCTATAGGCTTTTGTGTCAGAACCTTTTAAAAAAGTATATGTTTCATAACATACAGTTGTAATGTAGTTTTAAATATGCATTTGTGTAACACGTGGGTCATGGGCAAGTGGGGAGTTGGAAAGCAGAATCTTTTCATGGTCCTCAGGGAGGATGTGTCTACCTCTAGGAAGTGGCCAGAAGTCCCCCAGGGTTTGCCTTGTCTGCTCTGTCCTCAGCTTTCTCCCCCTGTACTTCATGGGAATGGAACACAAAGCCTCATAGGAATGTGGCTGGGCTGTCACTGTCCCTGTGGACATACCAATGTCTGTTAACTGGATGAAGAACTTTGGTCTATGTGATTTAACCCCGTGGCCGCTGGACGCGGTGTTTTTCTGCCAGGCCATTTTCTCTATCCATTTGTCAGTTTCTCAACATCTCCAGCCTTGAGCACCGTTTGAAAAATTGCCACCTTTTTTATTATCCAGTAGTTTGTTTTCCAGGAATCTCATATACTGTGTTCTCTAAGTCACTCAAAGCAAGGCGACCTCAAGATAGTGCCTCCACCTGCCTAAACCTCATCTCTGTTCCGTTTCTTGTCCTCATAGTGATGGGTGGCTTAATTCTGCCATTTACACATCCCTCATCAGCTTCAAACATGTGTCCCCTTCTGGTCCTCCTCCTTTCCCTGGCTACCTGACCCCCATTTAATGCTTTGTCCCGCCACCCTGGCATCTGACATCTTTCTTAGCTTATGCTAGCTCGCTCCTTTCCCTTCCTGTACCTTTGTGTCTGTCTCCCCCCCTCCCAGTACCCTGCATGCTACCTATGGCTTCATTGCTGCCTTGGGCCAAAGTTCAGGCTTGTCTTCCACAAGGTCACAGCTAGTTGGTGGCAGAGATAGGAGTGGCCTCTGGTGGTCTGGTCTCCTCTTTCTGCTCCCTTCTTCTGTGAGGCACAAATTATTTGTCCGCTTTTCTGGAATCCTGCCCTTCCTTGACCCTGCTGCAGGCTTTAGCGTTGCTGACTGGGTGTGAACCTGGCTTCTGTGCGTGCAAGGGACAAACCATGGAACCTTGCAGCCAAGGTCCTTGATGATGTGGCCCCATTCCTGTCTCCTGGGGAAAGCCACTTATTTCTTCTTTCCATCTCCTGGTCCCGTGCAGGAGTTCCTGTTAACAGTTTACTGAGAGTCTGCTTACGTTGCATATGGGCAGGTTGGCTGGCTAGGTGAGGGGCATCTTTGGTCCACTGGTTAGCTAGTATATGTTTCCTGAGTCTGTGCTGGACCCTGTGATCTCAGCAGATCCCTGGGGCCGTCAGTCTTCATAAATGCTGCGTGGTTGATAACAACCTTTTACTTGTGCGTTATACATGAAGATATCAAAAGTGAAGTTGTGGTCCCGGGCACGCTCTCACCAGAGTGCTTGTTTAATACCGTGTGCAAGCCCTGGGTTCCATCCCAGCACTGTAGACAAAAAAAAGTAGATTTGTGGGCCTGAAGGATTTTATGTTTTAAATTTCCTAGGTCATGTGACCATTGTCTTCAGGGCTGTCCTGCCCACAGTGGGTCCTTCAGCTCCTGACCGTGGTAAGCCCTTGGTAGTCGTTTGGCAGATGCATTAAATTCTCTTTTTCATTTCCTGGGTTGAACTTAGCTTCTGGAGGTTGAGTACGCACTGCCCTTGATGCTCCTGATGATTTTTCTTATGGATGGATGTCCTTATTGAGTGGAAGAATTTGATTATTTCAAGAAAGTCTGCTGTGATACCAGCAGAAGATACTTTTGTGTGTGTGTTTTCTTTGTTTGTTTGCTTTGACTTTTTTTTTTCCTGAAAGATATTTTTCTTAGAGCTTTAAGTTTTTTGTTTTAATACGTTAACTTCTTACATGGTTCTAGTTTTTTTTTCCTAAATTAGAAAGATCCATCCCACCTGTGGATTGTTTTTAAGCCCTGCCTTGTTGTTTCTAAGAGTTGTTTTCCAGTGGTTCTGGGAGGAAACCTGTACCCTCAAGCTTGTGAGGGGAGCTCTCACACCTTGAGCTGTACCCTCAGCCTTGTAACTTTTTTCCGTTTCCCTTGCGCCCCACAGTGTGTCTCTCATTATTGTACAGTTTAGCAGGTGCTGACAGTGTACCCTCCCAGGGAACTGTACTTTCACCGTTGTGCAGAGGCTTCCCACTGTCTCTGTGATCTGTTCTGCCTTGCTCTGAGTGCAGGTGCTTTGTGTTCTCTCGTATTGCTTGAAGAGTGAGCTTTCCCTGGTCTGAGTTCTTCCACTAAACACCGCGATTCCTCTGTATTGTGTGTTGTGGTATGGTGTCCATGCTGCTGTGGTGCATGTAGCCTGCCTTCCGGGTGCCTGCCTGCCGGGTGCCTGCTGGTCAGTGGTTAGCATCTTTCACTTTGTTATTCTGATGAATAAGGCTTTGTAAACACTTAGAAATCTTTATGTGGATTTGTATTTAATTCTGGTACACAAGGTCATGAGAATTTGTGGCGATTTTACTCAGTACAGGACTGTGAATGTGTGGTTTGGGCTTCTCCATACCTTCCTGAGATCGGTAGCAGCCCGTCTTTGAACATCTTACCGTTCAGAGCATTTCGTCTTTGCTTATGACCTGTGTTGGACATATTTCCATGTGCTTACTGGATTTTTATTTCTCTTTTTTAGTGATGTTCCTAGGCAAATGTAGGGCTGTTTTGTTGTTTTTAAATTCGGGTTTTGTTTCCTTTATATTTTTTAGTGTAAACTGACAACTGTGCCTTTTCTTCTGTACACCACTTTTCATAGCCTTACTGATGTGTAGTTAACGCATGTTACAGGCATACAGAGTATAAAGCTTACTGTTGCTGACAGAGGAGGATAAACTGTCAGATGGGTAATGGTTGTGCGCACCATCACCAAGTTATTTTTCTGTTATAGATTATTTTTCACCTTTGTTTAATTTCTTTCCCTTAGGATGATTGTTTTGCAGTTTGTTCATTTTATGTGTTGTGTCAAGAAATTCGAGAGAGAGAACTCTGGTTAAGAATGTTGCTATTCTTGCAGAGGATCTGAGTTTAGTTCCCAATACTTAAGTCAGAAGGCTCACAGCTGCCTGTAACTCAAACTACAGGAGATCCAGCACACTTCTCTGGCCTTCAGGGACCCACACACGTGTAGTTTATACAAACACAGATTGTAACACATTAAATGACTAAAAATAATAAAAACAGATCCTATGCACCAGGATCTGTTGGGTCTGTCTGACCCTTAGCCTACCCAAACTATACCTACCCTCAAGGCCTAGCCTGGGTCAGACACCCTGTGCTCTGATCCAGTCTGGTGAGTTCCTTGGACCCCGGCCCACCTACACCTTCCCCACCCACAGACCTAGTCTGGGTTGCATATCCTGTGTGCTGGCTTAGTCTGGAGAGTTCCTGAAACTCTGCTGGCCTGTGCTATCCCCACCCCAAGGCTTAGACTTAATGGTACAGCCTGTATGCTGGCCTGCCTTGGTGACTGCTTAGGACTCTGGGCCATCCACGGCACCCTCACATTCCCTGGGCATAGACGGGTAAATCAGCTTGCACACTACCCCAAGCAGATCCAGTATGCTCCATTTGTTTATTTGTGAATTAAAGTCACCTCTGTTGCTCCAGTTCACCCATCATCCACCACGATCCACCAGTTCTATAGAAGTGAGAATTACCAAAATGAAACCAAGAATACAGAATTTAAAAGAACAGTCATGAACATCATCAAAGAATCCAAGGACTTTAAAGGCAACATGAGCAAACAATGACACTAAGGATGATGGGGAAATCCACAGGGAAACATTTTATGTTTACTTAAAAACTTATGAACAATAGAGAAGTGTGTTGCGTACATACATGTATGCAATAATGACGTGATAACACTTGATGGTACTGCTTCCCCCAAGAGCCCGAGGACCAGAGCATCTTCTTTGATCATATCTTCTGTATATGACAGGGCACTGTACCCAGGAAACAATAAACAAGACCTGCACTATGAACCCCAGATCATAGTCCAGTGTAGATGGGGAAACTCACAAGGCTGCATCTCTAGATGAGGAGCTGTAGGCAATTACTGACTACTGACAGAGGAAGAATCACTCTCTTCCAGAGACAAGCCCCCTGGTAGGTTATCGAGCCCCAAGTGGTCAGCCTTAAGTATATTAAAGGAGCACACACTAAATGAGGCCAGCAGTGCTTTGAAGGTTGTGTTTATTCATACACACTCACTAATAGTTGAAGAGGTCATGAAAGTGTAAAGGAGTCAGAGGGTGGACAGAAGGCGTTGCGGGGAGAGGGTGGAATGAAAATGATGTAAATACAGCACTTGTGTGTAACTCTGAAAAGTTCAAAAAGCCAAATCAAATGGAAAAAAATTCTTTAAAACAACAACAAAAAAACCAGGTTTGATGATGCATGCCTTCAATTCCAGTGTTTAGGAAGCAGGCTGGTCTTTGTGATTTTGAGACTAGCTTAGGCTGCATAGCAAGTTCCATGTCAGCCAAGGGGAACGTAGTAAGATCCAGGCTTCAAACAAAAAACCCATTCCTGTGGCACGGATGAATAAGCAGTCTGCCTCTCCATCAGCTGCATGAGCACAGAGTGCTGCTCCCAGACACAGCCCTGGATATGCTGCTGAGCGGTGGGCATGGTTTCTGGATGGATGCTCTGCTACCTTGAGTAACACAGGGTCATCTGGTAGGTACGTTTTACTTTTGAAGAAATGGCCAAACTATTTTTGAGTGTAATTGTTTTAGTTTGCATTCTCAAGAGTAGTACATGAAGGTTCTTGTAGTGATATTTTGTTTGTGATCTAGCAAATAAAGCTTGCCTGAAGATCAGAGTGCAGAGTTAAGCCACTAGTTAGCTATAGAGGCCAGGCGGTGGTGCCACACACCTTTAATCCCAGCACTCAAGAGACAGAGGCAGATAGATCTCTTGAGTTCAGAGCCACCCTGGGCTACACGAGATTGAATCTGTCTAAAAGAGAAACAGAGCTCACACAAAGGTGATCCCAGAACTTGGGATTACGTACATTTAATTCCAGCACTGGGGAGGTGGAGACAGGAGTAATATGGCTGTGTGGGGAGAGGAATAGAAGGCAGGAGGAGACGGGAGCTCGGGGCATTCAGCCTGAGCATTCAATCTGAAATGCTGTTTTCGAAGAGACGGCATTCAGTCTGTGGATTCATAGGGACAAGGTTGCCCCTTGGTCTGAGGATTCCATAGAGGTAAGAACTAATGGCTGGCTGTTCTGCTTCTCTGATCTTTCAGCTTTCACCCCGATAGCTGACTCCAGGTTTTTATTAAGACCAATTAGAATTTATGCTACGGGTTCTGGCTTCAATACATAGAATAATGGCTTAAGAGAGTTTTATACATGTGTCATTGTACCTGCTCATATGTGCCCCTTTCTCGAGCTCTTAATATTATGTCTTTCAGTGTGTTTATCGCTGGCTTCCAAGAATACACCAAGCCGATGATTGACCACTTGGTTTCCATGAAAATCAACCATTGGGATGGGTAGGTTTTGTATTCTCTGAAAATTCCCCTTTTTCCTCCCAACAGGAGAAGCTTAATTGAACTTATAAGTCACGAGTGTATTTTCTCATTGTAGACAAACTATTTTAAGATAATTATTTCTGATAAGTAATGAAAATCCCAGTCCCTGTGTGTGGCATGCTTGTTAATGGTCTGTCTAGTTTTACTTCTGGAGCTGTTGGTCAGGGAATCCTGAGACGTAAGTAATTACTGCTGAATACCCTTGTCATATGTAACAGGGAAGCTATCGCCTGAGGACAAGGCAGTCCAGGCAGCTGGCATAGCCTGGTCTTCCTGGTCATTTGACTGGCTTCCATACTGATTCCGCTCTGCTTGGCCTCCCTAGCTATCTTATATATTGTCACTTAAGAGCTGAGCAGACTTTAGTGGTAGTTTTCATAATGACAGTGGCAGCTTTGGGGCCATCGTGGTATTTCATAGGTAGATAAATGTGTCTTCAAAGAAGAAAGGCAACTGTGACTTAGATGTAAGCCCTGTCAGTGTTTTGATACCATTTCTAGGTAGGCCTGGTCAGCCAACACAGGGCAAATGCTGGGGGAATTAGTGGTACAATCATGGTGCCCCTTCCAAAGCCCAGTGTCAGAGCGGGTCTTCGTGGTTGAAAGACTCTGATACTGGGGTTTCAGCTTCCCAAGGACCAAAGCCTTGCAAATGTTCGTTGGCTGCGGCTATGCTTGTATAGCTGTGTGCAGTCTGCTTTGGACTCTCCGGAGCGAGGAACCTCTCTCCCAAGCCTCTGTGTTGTTCACTTGGGCCAGCTGTGACCACTTGCCAGGAAACCTTCCCTTCCTTCAGGACCTTATGTGCCAGGTATACAGGAAGATGGGATGTTAGCTTTCTTATGGGGAGAAGAGCACCTAGGCTTGCCCAGCCAGAGGTTAAAATTAAATTGCCTTTTATATTAGTTTACGAGCCAACAAGACATTTAAAACCACATTGTAAATATGCAATCCATGAGTTAGCTTAAGTTTTTGAACTTTTGAAATCTGATTGATTTTCTAATTCTGTCAGTTCTTTCCTGTGTTTCGATTTGGATTTCTTTTTAGATACATGTATACCTCTAATTTTGAATCTTCCTGATGTGTTTATCATTATGAAGTGTTTCATAAATGTCTTAAAATGTAACATGATATTGAATCTGCTGTGTATGGGCTATCAGCTTTTTCTTTAAAGGGACAGATAGTTAATGCTTTGGGTCTCTGACTCATATATATGACCCTTAAAAATTAAAACAGTCCTTAACTTAGAGCCTTACAAAGGAAGCCTTCTACAAAAGTTAGTAGAAGAACCTACTAGCTACAAACAGTCATTTTTGTCATAGCAAGTGCCACAATTTTATCCCTTTTTAGTTGAGTAATATTCCATTGTCTGTATCTACCATATTTTGCTTATATGTCATTTGTTGATAGATCCTTGGCTGCTTCCATCTCAGGTCTGCTGAATAAAGCTGATAGGAGAGAGTGTGCAAACCCCTCTACTAACAGCTACTGTTACTTCTCAGGGCCATCCGAGAACTGTCTGCAAAAGCGCTGCACAACCTGACCCCACAAGTACCCGAGTACATGGCCTCTCATGGTAGGTGTGCGTTCCACTTCCTACGGCCGTCATACAAGTGCACTGTGTGCATATGTGTGCACATACACCGCAGAAAGATGAAGATGACGTCCTATGTCTGTTGCTGAAGAGTAGGCTGTAGGCTAAACCAGGATAGAGTACCAAGACAAACACAATGTGTTTGTACAGAGGCAGCTTTGGGTGGTGTTCAGCACAGGTGATATCCACAAAACAAGGAGTCTGTTCGTTGCATTGTGTAGGTTAAAATGATGGGGGATTCAGCGGTTGTCAGTGCCTCTAGATTGGTGTGACTTAGAATTTGGAGCTGTTCTGCCTTCTCCTCCCTAAACACCAGAGGCTGAGGTTTTATCTCACTGGGAAGGATGGAAGTGCCTGTCACCTTTTATGGTTGTGTGGCCTTTGATCTGCCTGCTGTCCTCAGGCAGAGTGCTACCACCATCTGTGGGGCAGAGGTGCAGATGGGAGAATCTGCAGATGTGACCGCACTGGGCATCCGGGGGCCTGTGTGCATGTACTGATTTATATGCCGTGTCCTAGCACGTTGCCCTGGTTGCCCAGGAGAGAGCTCTGCCCACCAGAAACAGGGGTGCTGACCCTGACCAACCCCAGAGGAAATGCTTCTGAGTAATGAGTTGTCCCGTGTGTGTTCTCCAACTTGACCACTGCAGTCTTCCCGGCACTGTTGTTGATGACACTGAACTCAGATCTACACACCAGACATGGTGCCATCCTCTCCTGCGCAGAGATCACCTATGCCCTGTACAAGCTGGCTTCACAGAGCAACAGGTAGGAGATGTCACCTGGGAAACCAGGTAACAGTAGTGGTTTGGGGCTGGAGAGTAGCGCGTCTGCTCTGATGGTTGATTATTTGTGTGTTGAGGCAGTCGGTGGTTAGGACTACACTCTCTTTTCAGGGAAGGGCTGCTGGTTGGCATTTGTCAGGGGCCTCTGCTGCCTCTGCTGCTTCGTGTCCCCTCTTCATCCCAAGGACTCAGACAGCAAGAGCAGTGGCCACCTGTTCAGGGGTGGCACTGAGCAATTCAGTTACCATTCCGTGTATGATTGTGTATCGGTGCACACATGTGTGCCACAGAACACATGTGTAGGTCAGAGGAAACCTTGAACGTCTTCTTCATGCCCCCCCTCCCTTGTTTAAGACAGTATCAGCCTTGCAGCTCACCAAGCTGCTTGTGAGTTCAGATGATGCTCTGGTCTGTCTCCCATCTTCCTGGGGGTACGTACAGATGCACCCCTGTGTCTGGCTTTTACCTGGGTTCTGAGGATCTGAACTCAGGTTGTTTGACTTGTGTGGCAAGGCGTTTTCTTAATGAGTCATCTCAGTCCCCATTTGTCACTTGAGTAATTTAAACTACTTTGGACTGTGCAGTGGTGACACACACCTTTAATCCCAGCACTTGGGAGGCAGAGGTAAGCGAATCTCAGAGTTCGAGGCCAGCTTGGTCTGCAGAGTGAGTTCCAGGATAGCCATAGATTCATATAGGAACCTTGTCTGGAGAAAAACCCAGAAAGAAAAAAAAGGCAAATTTGGAAGTTTCCCTTGGCTTTATTTATAATATAACTACAAAGCAAGAACTCAGGACCATGCACCGTGGTGCATTCCAAGAGCTGTGTAATTTCCTTATGTCACTATGCAGCTGATTCCTCAAAAATAAGATCTTCTAGACACAGTGCATCTATGACCTGCCCTTAAGTTCAAGCTTGAATCTGTACTTAAGTCATTTCCTGTGTGTGGTAGCTCCCTGGGTCAGGGTGACAGCATGGACCCAAGGAGGCCTCAGAACACAGCTCACAATCTGTGTGGGTGGAATGGTCACCTAATGTTGAAGACCTTGCTGTCCCTGGTGAAGGGCACATGAGCCATGACATGTCTCAGCAGTGCATTGTGATGACATGGTACCTTTGAGACGCATTCCCAAGATGTTGGGTTTATACAAGGCCTCAAGGTGTTGGACTTTCGACTTCAGACCTCCAGGACATCGGGGCTCTGTGTGGCTCTGCCTAGCACCTAGCAGACTAGATCTCCAGGGAGCTGGAGTTACCACAAAGCTCAGCCTAGCAAGTAATAGATATCAGATCCTCAGGGTGTTTGTGGCTGTGCGTAGTCAGGCCTGAAGCACAGCGGCACCATAGGCAGTTGACACTGCTTGGCTCTGCCTGGCACACGCCATAGCTCAGTCTACAGCAGTAATTTAGAGCATGTCCCTGTAGAGGACTTCCACGGTGTCAGCAGGGGCCCAGTGTTCAGTAAGACTACTTCTGTCCTGATCATAAGGTTGTGTCTTCAGCAAGCTGGCTATAGGTCAGAGCATAAAGATAGCACCCAGCTGCCCAGCTGCTGAAACCAGCATTGTGTGCATTTGCGTGTGCGTGTGTGCGCGTGCACGTGCGTGTGTGTGTGTGTACAGATGTACTTGTCCATGTGTGTACGTGTACATGTGGAGGCTAGAGATTGACAGTGGGTAGCTTACCTTCTCTGCTTACATTCTTATTATTTGTTTTTTTTTTTTCTATTTTAAATTAAATTTAGTACCTGGAGACAATGGCTTAGTAGTAAAGAACATTTGCAGAAGACCTGGGTTCAGTTCCCAGCCCCTGAGTGATGGCTCACAGACCTTTGTGACTCTATTTCTAGGGATTCCCAGTACATTCTCTGGACTCCATGGGCCTCAGTCATGCTTATGGTATATGTACAACTGATGACAAAGATACACATACATATAAAAATATTGAACTTACATTTATTTATTTGAGAGAGAGAAGCACACACGTGTGGGCATGAGTTTGCCGTGATGCAGATGTAGAAGATAGAGCACGACTTGAAGGGGACTCAGTCCTTCCTTCTACCTCGTGGGTCCCAGGCTTAGCAGTGCCGTTGAGCCATCTCTCCAGCCCCCAGAACAGCTTTCATGAAGGCAGGAGTAGGAGATCTCCCGGGATTGTGGGAGCATGGACAAGGCTGATCTTTCTGAGTCTGTGTGGTCTTCACTGTGAACCTGAACTCTGGCTTCATCCTTGTTGAACTCAGTACTGTGCTTCTCTTTCTGCAGGCCCGTCACAGACTATCTGGATGAGAAGGCAGTGCAGAGCCTGAAGCAGATCCACCAGCAGGTTTGTGTGGTCTGTCTGAACCTCTTCCACCTGGACAGGGTCTGCTTACCTTGTTGACCAGGACATGATGGGTTCTCTCCACCAACATTACATTGTGGGAGTTTATCTGGAATTGGTAGTTGGACTAGACTTGTTCTCTGGGGCCAGAAGCCATCTTGTTGGATGGGTATCACAATCAGGGTCTCAGGGCAATATTGGTGTCTCATTGGTCCTTAACAGGAGTTCCCAGCTGAGGGGTCAGAGGGATCTTCTGGAGAGTTGGGTACCCGTAAAACAAAGGCCTTTCATTTCTACCTTTGACCCTGAGGTCCTAATCTCCACTCTCCTGAAATTGAATCCCGAATGTTGTACATTTTAGGGAATGGGAAGAAAACATGAGATTCTCAAAACCTTCTGTGACATAAAAGAAAAAAAGTATTGTTTTGAGGCCACTTGTTTGTTTCCTGGCCGCCCAGACTCCCGAAATAACCACACAGAAACCATATTAATTAAATCACTGCTTGGCCCATTAGCTCTAGATTCTTATTGGCTAACTTTTACATCTCAATTTAACCTATTTCTATTAATCTGTGTATTGCCACATGGCTGTGGCTTATGGGTAAAGTTTCGTCTGGCTCCAGCCCTGCTCTGCCATAGGCTCAAAGCTGTTGACCAATAAAAGCAACAACACACAGACAGAAGGACCTCCCACACCAAAGTATGAATCCAGGGTATTTTCCAGGAATTAAGATTCCTCCACATTCCTGAATACCCTTTCTTGTTGCAAATATTTTTCTATTCCTCTTTTTATAATAACGGTTTGTCTTAGATCATAATGACCATGATGAGGCCATCTGGTTAGTTTTAACATTTTTTTGCTTTGAAGCGGAGCCTGGCATCTTTGCTCAGTATTGGAAGTGAGGTGTGGAGGGGAGAGTGGCATCCCCATGCAGAGGCTGAGGGAATGGAGCCCCTGTGTCCTCTGAACCAGGACTTCCTGTTTCTGAGGAATGTGGATAGTAACGGATGCTGCTTTTGGTGTTTGTGGGAATTTCTGGTATGTCTGGAACTGACAGTTGTGTTGACTACCCAGCAAGTGTTAGATGTACTCCCAACAATGAACTCAATTACTTTTGAGTTTTTCTGGAGACAGAAAACACCAGAGCCATTTGGCATGATGAGTTTTCTGCCTGAGTGGTGATCAGTGGGCCAGGATGAAAGGGGCCACCCTCTTTCTTCATGTCTGTGTGCCTCAGTTTCCCTTTAGAGATAATGAACCTGAAAAACGTAACCGAGGCCAAGCACAATGAGGTGGGCCTTTGTTTTCTGACCTTCCTGACTGGCTCCCTGGCAACTAAGAGCTCAACTTCGTCACCCTGCCGTCATTCTTACGTTGCTCATAGCCACCGTTTAATGGATGACAAATTAACCTAAATAACTTAAATAACTGACCTTTCGTTCTTTAATTTTAGCTTTATGATCAGCATCTCTATAGGTAAGCCTACCGAGTAAGACATCTTATGTGTGTAATAGAAATGTGTGTTGTCTGTAACAACTGGTTTACTGAAGCACTTACGTTATATTTGTGTGTGCGTATGTGCATGCATGTGTGTGGTGTGTATGTGCGTGTGTATAAAACACGTCCTATGTGCAATGGTGGAGGTCAGAGGACAACTTGAAGGAGTTCATTCTTTCCTTCTGTCTTGTGGGTTCCCAGGGATCAAACTCAGGTTGTCAGCCTTGGTAGAAGGCACCTTCAGCTACAGAGCTATTTTGCTACCCCTTGTTTTACTTTTAAGCTAATAACTCACCTTCATCTGTCCTGTTACATGTTTACTTTGTAGCATTGTAACTTTGTGAACTGTTACACATTCACTTTGAAGACATGCAGCTGCCACTCAGCCCAGGATTCAAGGACCTGAAGGCTGCAACTCTTTGGTGTCTTTGGCTTTTTGGAAGCTGAAGTCACAAGTCTTGGTACCCCACGGTTCAGTGTACCCTTGGCAGTTCTGTGACTGAAGACACTTGTGTCCTGCCCATTTGGGTTGCCTCTCTGCTTTTGGTGACTGTTGACTCTTGGGTCTACCACCTCGAGTGCTCTGTCTCTGCAGTCTGTGCAAATGGGATAGTATGTAAAGCCTTTAGGTCTGGTTTTCTCCAGTGTGTTTTTGGGATTCATTCCTGTTAGTGTGTATGCTGTTTTTCTGTTTTGTTTTATTTTAGGTAGGTTCTTACTTTGCCCCACTGTGGTCTTTTCAAAAAAATTATTTTATGCTTATCGATGCTCTGCCTGCCTGTGTGTCTGTAGACAACGTGCATGCAGGGCCCAAGGAGGCTGAAAGGTGTCTGGTTTCTTTGAGATGGTTGCTGCTGCATTGCATGGGCACTGGGAATTGAACCTGGATTTTTTGGAAAAGCAGCTGAACCATTTCACCAGTCCAGGGATTTCCCTTTCTTTTTGAAGACCAGGAGGACCTCACTGTGTTGCCCCGGCAGGTCTAGAATTTACTGTGTAGACCAGTTGGGCTTGCATTTTCAGAGCTCCCTCTGCTTCCTGAGTGCTGGAAGAATGTACCACCACACTTGGCCCTTTTCTACTGGCAGCTCACCTGCCTCAGTTTCCCTGTGCTGTGGTTCCATCATACCTGTGTTTTCTGTCCACGTTTACTCCTAAGAAGGGTGTCCTCTCAGCTCAGGGTGCAGTGTGGAATGAAGCTGCTGTGTGTACATGTGTGTCCCTTTCCTTGGGTATATGAGGAATGGTTTTCCTGGGTCATTCGGCAGGTGTGTATCTTTTTAAGAAACTAGAAGGTTTCTTTGCAGATCACCCAGCCCTTTGCCTATGTCCCAACCAACTCCACACCTGAGTGTTTGTGGTCTGCAGCGGCATACTGTAGTCACGATCATTGTTCCTGTCTTGTTTGAGAATGTGGTTTATGTTTCCCCAGTAACTACATGGTGCTGACATCCTGTGGTCTCCTGCGGAGTGACCATTCATTCCATCCCTCTTCCCCTTTGAGAGGCAGTCTCTCTGCACAGTCCTGGCCACCCTGGAACTCCCTATGTAGATCAGGCTGGCCTCAAACCCAGAGTTTCAGCCTGCCTTCCGAGGGCTGGATTAAGGGTGTGTGCCACCACACCCAGCCCTCATTCACTTTCTTAAATACTCACCTCTTCCTTTCCTTGTTGAGCAGTCAGAGCTCTGTATGTTCTGGGTCTGAGTTCTGTTAGACACAGGAGTTCCCCGTTTTCCTCCTACTCTGTTTCGTTTCTTGCTGCGTTATTTCCTTTTGTGGCGTGGGGCTGAGCACTTACTGTTCTGTACTTTCTAAGTGGGAAGCCTCACTTCCTGTGTGTCTTATTGACTGCTTTCCAAACCTTTAAGAGTAGGTAGTGATGGTAGGTGCACACAGTGAGCTATGCAATGCCCGAGAGCTTCTGTGGAGGTGAGAGTATCCTGTCAGAACTGTCCGGCACACAAGTCTCACCATATTAACCACTTCTTTCAGTGAGGACCTGTTCTAAACCTTGTCCAGGTCTGAATAAAAATGCCTTGAATTTTTTATGCTTTTTATTTTTTACAGCAGTAGGATAAAATGACTCCCAGAAAAGATACTAAAACAATTTGATTTGGAAGACTGGAGAGATGACAGTTAAGAGCACTGGCTTCTTTTCCAGAGGACCAAGGTCCGATTCCTAGCACCCACGTGGCAGCTCACAACCATCTGTAACTCCAGTTCTGGGGATTTAATGCTTCTTCTGAACTCCACAGGCATCAGACATGCAGATGGTGCACAGACACACATGCAGGCAGAACATCCATACACATAAATTATTTTTAATGTATTTAATTTTTGCAGTGTTTGCCTAAAGCTCCATTTAAAATAGTAAAGAGATTTGGAAGAACAATGTGATTTTATTTGGAGAGCTTGTGGAAAGCCACAAGGTGTCAAAGAAGTGCCATCCCAGTCCCCAGATAGGCTCCTAGGCCCCTGTGTGGATGCTGATGACTGGGGTTGCTGCTGGCAGGCACAGTGTATTTCTGAGTGATATGGGGGTCAGACTGATTTTCCAGCAGGGTCGCCGGCAATGAGAGGCTCAGGGAGGCCCTAGCCTAGTGTCTAGATCTTCAGATGTGTATTCATCATTATTCTCATCTGCGTGTTGGAAGGCAGATATAGGGGTTTCCTATCCTGTTTATCCTGATTAATTAAACTTTATGATAAAGCTCATCATTTTTAATTTTGTAAGGTTTGGGGTGCTTTTACAGAGTCACAGCCTGTAACTACCACCCTGAGGTAGATACCTCCCCGAACTCCTGGTACCACAGACTTGCTTCCTGTTGTTTTAGGTTAAATTTTTTCTTCTGCTCTTTTTTAATCTTTTGTTAACTACATTTGGCACAGTTTTTCTTTTGCATATCCAAATTCTTAAAGTGTTCAGTATGTTATGTTCTCTGTTGTTGGAGGAGGCTGCTTGTTTTGTTCCTGGCTGCTCAGCCCCAAAATAATCACACAGAAACTATATTATTTAAATCACTGCTTGGCCTATTAACTCCTTATCAGCTAAATCTTACATCCTAATTTAACCCATTTCTATTAATCTGTGTATGGCCATGTAGCAGTGGCTTACCACTGTCTCCCGTGAGGCTACATGGCTTCTGACTCTGCCCTTCTTTCTCCCAGCATTCAGTTTAGTTTTCCCACCTAGCTCTGTTCTCCCCTATCAGGCCAAGCCAGTTTCTTTATTAACCAATGGTATCACAGCATACAGAGGGGAATCCCACATCACTCTTTGTCTTCTCCCCCAGGGTCCATCCTCTTTCCGCTTACATTTCCTTCCATCCTTTTAGACAACATGAGGGGTATGATAGCTGCATTAGTGACCTCGTGTGAACTTTATCAGCTTGAACATTTCTGGGTTGTTGATTTCTTTAGTTGTGGTCCTGTTTTCCTGGTAGTTTTTCATTAAATTCCCATCTTTCCAAAATTTACATTTCTGGATTTGGAATACATGCACGTGTGCCTGCACCCGCGCTTGCGCGCGCACACACACACACACACTTTCTGGTTTCGTTTGGACACTTTTAAGACTGCATCATAGCTTGGGTTGTTTAGAGCAGTGCTAACCTACTGCTGATTTACAGCCGCTATGAGGACCCTGCTATGGCCTTTCCTTCCCAGCTGATGAAGATTGTTCTCAGCCTGAGTCGATCTGAGAAGCATCCTGCCCTCTTCTTCTATGTGTTTTCTTTCTTCCAGGCACATACAGCTCCGTGTCGGCTCTAGGATCTCTCCTGCTGTCTGTGTCTGTGCTGCAGGCTCTGGCCTTCATGGCCTCACCTGCTAAGCATCTCTGTCTCTTTTGAGCCTGTCATCACAGAACATCCAGGGGTTCCATTAGGGCTTCACCCACAGCTGCCCATGTGACTTACCTGGTGGTGCCTGAGAGATTAGAAGTTTCTATGCTGCATTGGCTTCCAGAGTCTGCTGTGTAGCACACATATTCTCTGGCTTCCTAATTGTTTTGTTTTTGGTTTTTCTCAAGACAGGGTTTTCTGTGTAACACCACCAGCTGTCTTGGAACTCGCTCTTGGTAGATCAGGCTGGCCTCAAAGTTGCAGCAATCCACCTGTCTTTGCCTCCCAAGTGCTGGTATTAAAGGCAGGCACTATCATCGCCCAGCTGGCTTCCTAAGTTTAAGGCAGATCTTGTTACTGTTGGGGCCAGAAGCTGGAGCCTCCAAAGCCAGTGCTGTTTTCCCAGCTCCTGCTTGCTAGCATTTCAGGTTGGGTGGCTTCTGGCCGGCAGGCTGGGTGATGATGAATATTAGTGTCCCACTGCTTTGGACCGCACAGTGGTCACCCTGGCATTGTTGTGAAGTGTGGTTAAGCAGCGTTTGAGATTGGTTCTGTGTGATTTATCAGTGATGCCCAAGATTCCTGTGACAGCCCAAAGGACAAGAGTCTGCCAGAGGATGATTGTGCCACAGATTTTTGTTTATTGCCAGAAATGTAGCCCACACTCTGGGCAGACTATGTCCCTAACTGAAACTGTTAGTTTTTGGTACCTGAAGTTTCCGTTGCTTGGAGGGGTGTTTCATGTTTCATGTATAAAAGATTTTAACTCTGTTCCTTTTTGTTTTTTAGGGGTCTAGGAGGAGAGCTTATGAGACAAGCAGGTATGTCTGGGGCCAGAAGCTGCTGTCTTTCTTTCCAGTATGGGGGAAGAGTATTCTGAGGTCAGGCCAGGCCCCCCAGTACCAACTGGTAGCAGTTCTTTTCTGTTGGAGATCCTGCTAGGGGCTGGCTTGCTGTTGTCCCTGAAGGATGTGATTGTGCTCTCTGCACATGCTCTGGTGTGTCCAGTTACTCCAATTCCCAGCTCTGGGGCTCTGATTTGTTTTGCATGCCACAGGACTGGTAGCTGTGGTGGATCTGGGGGTATGTCAGCTGCAGATTTCCTCTTTATACTAAGTTCTGCAGAGTAAGAGATGGTGTAAGCAGAAGTTTCTGTCCCCGGATCTTGCAGTTGTTCAGTCCCAAAGAAACACACAGAGACTTATATTAATATATAAACTGTTTGACCTATTAGTTCAGGCTTATTATTAACTTAAATTAGCTCATAATTCTTATCTAAGTTTAGCCCTGTGGCTTGGTACCTTTTATCAGTAAGTCCTTCTCATCTTGCTTCCTCTGCATCTGAGTGTCAGCTGCAGACTGAGCCTCTCCTCTCCCAGAATTCTCCTAGTCTGATTGCCCCGCCCATAGTTCCTGCCTGACTACTGGCCAATCAGTGTTTTATTAAACCAATACAAGTGACAGATCTTTACAGTGTACAAAAGCATTATACCATCACAGAATGGTTAATCAGATCCTGTGTTAAGTGTCCACAGGGATCTCACAACATAATCAGGTGAATATTCCCAGTTAGTTGAATGTAATAGAAAACCCAGGTTCTTCCTGGCTTGTCTAGGGGGTATCTCCAGATATCCTGGCCAGAACTGGCCACATTGGCAGCTGATATCCTAGTCTGGTGTGTGTGTAGGCAGGGCGGGAGAAGCAGGTTTTGGTGTGCTGGTGTGGCCCTAGTTGAGACCGGTTAGAATTGTCTGTTTCACCCTTGAACTGTTCTGCAAGTCTGGGCAGCAGTCCCAAGTGGACTCTGACTATATTCGGGGAGATAGATGTCTTCTGGACTGTCCCTCACAGCCTGCGCGCTCGCTCTCGCTCTCTCTCTCTCTCTCTCTCTCTCTCTCTCTCTCTCTCTTTTCTTTCTTCCTCTTCCTCCTTCCTTCTTCCTCCTCCTCTTCCTTCTTCCTCTTTCTTCTTCTTCTTCCTTCTTCCTCCTCTTTCCTCCTCCTTCCTTCTTCTTCCTCCTCTCCTTCTTCCTTCTTTTCCTTCTTTTTCTTCCTCCTTTTTGGTTTTTTAAGACAGGGTTTCTCTGTGTAATAGCTCTGGCTCTCCTCAAACTAACTTTGTAGACCAGATTGGCCTCGAACTCACAGAGACCCACTTGCTTCTCTCTCCCTGAATGCTAGAATTAAATGCACCATGCTGGCTCCCACAGGTCTTTTTAAGAGGGGTCCTCAAGCTAGGTCTGGAGTATCTTCTTCCTGATGTCCATCTGGGGAGATAGCCTGGATTTGCTCATGGCCTGGCCAGCATGAAGGTGGGTGGAAGAGTTAGGTGTTGGTTATACACTTTTGGAAAATAATGTTTTTTTTTCTTTTTCCATAGTGTGCATTTTAATAAAGAACTTGTCACTTTCTAGAATGCCCTTTAAAGGCGACACCGTTATCGGTAGGTGCTTTCCTCAATGACACAGATAACATTTTCTTAATACTGTTATTCAGGTTACAGAATAAGAGATGAGCTCGTTGGGGTGGGTGAGGTGAAGTTGAAAGGGCTGCAGTATTGGTACATCTTGTCTTGGAATTGCTGCCACCTCCTGCCACCCTCTTCTAGAAAGGACAGGCAAGTGGGAAGTTCTTCTGGAATCCTTTACTGGTGCTCTTAGCTGTGGCTCTGCCTGCCACCATGGTATCCAGTCCTGGAAATTTGTGGTCATTCCTTGCCTGGTACTTATTTATTGCCCAGACGGTTCTCACTGCTGAAACAGAGGGCAGTCTCCCTCAAGTCTGCTCTAGCCTCGCCTACAGTTACTAATTTTATTTAGCTGAACAGAGAGTAAGCATATCTCCAGTCCATTTATTAGGTATAGTTGAGTTGAAGTTAGGTTTAAGTTGTACAGGACCAGGAAAGATTGTCCAAGGGAGAAAGATAAGATCACTTGGGCTGGAGAGACGGCTCAGTGGTTCAGAGCACTGACTGTTCTTCCAGAGGTCCTGAGTTCAATCCCAGCAACCACATGGTGGCTCACAGCCATCTGTAATGAGATCTGGTGCCCTCTAGTGCTGGCCTGCAGGCATACATGCAGACAGAACACAGTATTCATAATAAATAAATGAATAAATAAATAAATCTTAAAAAATGTCTTAAAGCTTGCAGCTGTTACAAAAGAGGAGTTCTCTATCGTGATGTGCAGGTCTTTGGTTTACAGGGCATGGCATTTTCTACACAGTGGTGGCAGCAGCAGGGTGTGGAGGAGCTAACTTTTAGCAGCCTGAGGCGGGCTTCCTCCTGGAACTGGCGCCCTTGGACTTTTATGCGGTCTGGGAATGTTCACTTTGGAGTTTCTCCAGGATGCATGTCTGTTGTTGTGAATGTCGGCTGAGTACTCTGAGGCAGGTTAGTCATTGTCTTTGCTTTTTCGGCAGATGGTTGGCAGTGGCTGATAGATGACACTCTTAGAAGTCTTCACCTTGTTTCCAGCCATTCGCGACAGCAGATCAAGGTATGCCACGCGGGATTTCTCTCCCCTGTTGTCCATAGCACGTCTCGGTGGTCCTTTCATGCACTAACCTCACAGTCTGCAACACCATCATGGAGTCTGCGTGGTTCACACGGGTAGCCTAGAGTGACCATGGTAACCAGGAATTTTACCCTTCCTCACTATACTTTTTATTTCTACCAGTCTTCTTCTCTATTTTGATAGTGATAGCGTGCCCAGTCACACCTGAGTTCTGGTAGCCATAGGTCAGGTTGGGAAGGTATTCACATGAAGACGAGATTGAGCAACCAGATGGCTCGCTTATGTTCATCTTTCGGGATCGGAGCTGTGACATACAGCCATTTCTTAGGCCGTGAGCTGTAATGGTTGATGTTTTGGAAAGGCTCTGACGTGCCAGACAAGGTGTGGGAGCATGAGCCCCTGCCCGTCCTGCACTTCCTTCTGTTTTGTTTCTGTGGAATTCTTCCTGGTTAAATGCAGTCTGCCTGGTTAAATTTGGAGGCCTCATGGTTGGTATCTCAGAATTTTCTTTGAAAACTGCCCATAATCGAGTCCCACTGACCATGATCGTATTTTTTGTTGCTTCATTTTGGTGTGTGTCGCATCTCTGTGCTGTTCTGAGGGACTCCATGCTGATCTTCTCCCTGCCCCTCCTCAGTTGGGGAGGGGTGGAATGGAAGGTTTGATTTGAGGTGGAGTCATCTATTGCAGAGGGGAGGTGGGAAGCCAGGGAGATGCCACATCGCCACCTTCTGATTCGTGTGACCCTGCATCATCCCGCCTCCATCAGGGTTGCTGGGGCTAAGATTGGTTCCTCACCCTGTCTGTTCTGCATACACTTCTATGCGGGATGCCAGTTGGACCCTCCTGTTCCCTAAACCAGGTTCTACCAGTGCTGCCTGGAGCCCTTGTCCTCATAAACAGACACGCAATCCCCACATTGCTGCTGCTGGGAAGAGAAGCATGTTTTGTCTTATATCAACTGTACCATATAGGAACACATAAGAATTGTACTGTTTGGGAGAAATAGAGTTCTCACGTTAGGCTTACTAGTGCGTAGAATTTAAGGTGATTGATACATCTGACAGGTTTGGTAGACACACTGGAAAGTCAGAAGATTTATTAGAGAAACAGTGTGGCAACGATGTACTAATTTGTTTTTAAACATAATCACTGTCAGATGGCAGTGGCCCGCACATCTGTGGCTGAGGACTTCTTAGACCCTTTTATCACTCATGTCTTCTGTTTTAGGAGGCAGCTGTCTCGGCCCTGGCCGCCCTCTGCAATGAATACTACATGAAGGAGGCTGGGGAGGCAGATGTTACCATTGAGAGTAAGTGCGCTGTATGCTGGGCCTACAGCAGGGATCACAGTGTAGACAGGTAGTTAAAATTCCTTATGAAAGCCAGGTTTAGTAGTAGAACATTTCCCTAATGCCAGATGAGCTATCATAGCTCTTAATCCATGGGGAGGAGAGCACTGTGAGTTCAAGACCAGCCTGGTTTAAATAGAGAGACTTTGTCCCAAACAAAAACAAAACACAGACATAAAGGAAAAATATCTTAGGAACCGAGTGGTAGTGGTGCGTCGTACCTTTAATCCCAGCACTCGGGAAGCAGAGGCAGGCAGATTTCTGTGCGTTCTAGGCCAGCCATCCTACAGAGTGTGTTCCAGGATAGCCAGGACTATTTCACAGAGAAACCCTGTCTTAAAAAACAACACCAACAACAACAGAAATCTTAAGGAAACCTTAAAACCACCTTATACAAATTTTCTTGTAGCTTATCTGTCACTTTGAAGGTGTGTCTGCATCAGAGCATTGTCCTGGTTCACCTTACACATCTCACTTGTATTTCTGAGGGGCACCACTAGACACAGGCCACTTCTAAATATTTCTTTCTTTTTAGGGGAACTGATTCCACAGTACCTTGCTGAGCTCCAGAGCCCAGAGGAGATGACCCGCTGTGGCTTCTCCTCAGCCTTGGGTGCCCTCCCAGGGTTCCTTCTCAGGGGCCATCTGCAGCAGGTGAGGGTCCCAACAGCACCGAGGGGGCACAGGTGGGAAGGGCTGGCCAGTAATCTGCACACCTCTGCTTGGGAATTTGATGCTGGAATTCTCAGTAGTAGCACACGTGGCCATGAAAGTGATGGCTGCTGGGCCTACACCTCAGTATGTGGGCTGACTGCTCCTGCAAGGCATACTTAGAGAGCTGTGCTCAGGTTTGTAGGGTAGGAGGCTCTGTCTGAAGAAACTGGCTTCTTGATGAGAAAATGGTAGCCTCTGTGCAGAAGCTGGTGCTGGCATGTGCCTTCTATTCTTGTAACCATCTCAATTTATTTCCCTAATAATAAAGCCATGTAGTTAAAATTTCTTATGAAATTTTATGTTCCTTATGTGCCTTGTGTCCCACCTTGTTGGTAGTCATGGTGGGAGGTAGGCTGGGTATGGTTGGAGGCTGCCAGCCCCGTGTCTCAGCCTGGTGCCCATGGGCTTCTTTTCTGCCTGTGCCATAGAAGAATATATCATGTACTATTATTTTCTCACACTGTTTCCTCTGCTTTGGTGTGGCCTGCTCTCTCCCCATTGTCTTTCCTTCTCAGACCTGGGCGTGCCTCCAGCCTGACTCTGGAGACCATGCACTTTTCCCCTCTGAGTTGAAACACTAGGCTTGGTCCTACCAACCCCTCCTCCCCCAGGTGCTCTTGCTCTGTCTGCCCCTGCTGCCTGTCACACAAGCTGGGATGCAGTAAGACACACACTCCACGTTTGCTTCTATGTATACTGGTTCTCTTTCCTCCTGTGGGATCAGGCAGTTCTGACGGTGTGACGAGTAGGCCTTTTACCCTGTACAAAGCCGAGTGTAGCTGTTGTAATAACTGAACTCACCCTGGGGTTTATCCACTTGAAATGTGGATAAACAATGAAAGATTTTAGAACTGAACTATCAGTTCACGAAGTAATAGCCCTGGGCCTACACGGTGGCTCAGTGAATAAAATCACTTTCCGGCAAGCCTGGTGACCCAAGTTTGATCCCTGGGACCTGCATAAGATAGAGAGAACCAGCTCCACCAAATTGCCCTCTAACTTCCACATACAGGCCGTAGCATGTATGATTGTGTACACACATGTGCGCGTGTTCGCTGGTCCGGGGCAGTGGGTAGGAGAAAATATAAAACTATAATTGCTCATTTGTTGTTGAGATCTAGAATGTCAGGTATCCCCTGTCCAAGATGGGAACAATAGAGAGGAATCTCCTGTAGGGATGAGGCAGATTCATAGCAGTTGCTGGAGTTCGGGTGCAGCAGATGGGAGGCTGTGGGATGATCCCTTTTCAAACGTTCTTCCAGAAACTGAATTGGCCTGTTGTCTTGTGTGGGAGGTGGCTCCTGTGAACTTCCTGGCAAGCCCCACCCATGGCTGCTGTGTCCGTGGCTCCAGAGCCACGTCTCTGTCTGAAACAGAAGTGTGCTGACAGCCACGTCTGGTGGTACACACAGCACTTAGGATAGTGGGACAGGAGGGTTTGCAAGCTTATGGAGACTGTGACTGTCTAAAAAACATGTTTACTTTGTAGCTGATACTTATTTACTGATTTGGGGGACTTTTTGCCCTCAGGTTCTCACAGGTCTAAGAACAGTCACCCGTACTTCTCCCAAGGATGTGAGCTTTGCTGAGGCCAGGAGAGACGGTTTGAAGGCAATCTCAAGGTGAGCCCTGGCCTGGCAGGTGGACACCAACAGGCACCACAAGGATTACCTGCCATGCTAGCTAGCAGAGAGCAGAAATGTATAGAGCTGCTTTCTAATTCTCCCCCTCTGGAGCATTGTCAGGGAACATTTGTATCTTCATTTGAAAACCACCTCAGAAGCCGAGGAACAGCCGTTTGAGGCCAGCCATGGCAACATTGAAGCCTTAAACCAACCACACACAAACCAAAGCATCGTTCTGGCTTTGGGAATAGCCAGGGGTTAGAGTGCTTGTTTAGCATGTACAAGGCCATGGGTTCTATGCCCAATACTGCTAAATAAACTAACAAAATGGATGAAGAGTTGGGGATCGTGCCTCAGCTTGAGGCTGGCAAAGGGAGCAATGCCTGAACCCTGTGTCTTAGTGGCTTCTGTCTGTAGATGCAGTGTGAGGGCCTTGTCTGCCTTCTCTGGCTCCCTGTGGTTCTGCAAGCCCATTCAGTCCTGACTTCTCAAAAAGCAGCATTATCCTTTTTATTGGGGTGGAAGAGAGAAAGAGCCAGCTACCTTGTAGCTTGTGGGGCAGTGAAGGTGACTTCACAGCGAGCACCATTCCGCATCTGCAATGGGAAGGGTGCCCTGGGTCCTGAAGCCTGCCTGGGGCTCCTGCGCCATGCCAGGTGTTCCCTGCAGCAAGACACCCCAGGCCATCGTAATGTGAAGGATGAGCTCACAGACATGCATATCTTAATTTCAGAGTTTGCCAGACGGTTGGCGTGAAAGCAGAGGGCCCTCCAGATGAAGTCATGTGCAGAGAGAACATTTCCGAGGTTTACACCGCGATGCTGGACTGCATGAACGATTATACCACAGACAGCAGAGGGGATGTGGGAGCCTGGTAAGGACAGTGTTTGTACTGTGACTTCTCTGCTATTTCTGAGATAGGGGAGGGCACGACATCCTGAGGTACCCAGGATTGAAACAACAGGCATTAAGTCATGCTAGAAACGCTCATAGCAACGATCTGCACTGACGTCTCAGGCGAGCCCTCTTCTGCTGCTCAGGCATCCCTAGTCCTTTAGTCTGCACGACTCTTCCCTCTCTCCTCCTGTAGGGCAAGTTTCCTGCCCAGGTTGCAGCACCTTGTGAGGGAGAGAACAAGGCTGCTGCTGTCTGAGTCAGCAGCTCTACCGGGTGCCTCACACCCCCTCAATACCCCCTTGTAACCCCTCGTACCCCCTCACACCCCCTCACACCCCCTGCTGGCCTTAGGCATTGATGGTAAAGAGTTCCGAAGGAGCTCGTAAAAGACGCTGTCTTGATTGGGATCAGAACATGGAGAGAACATGTTATCCCTTACATAGGATGTTTCAGACATTACTTTCTAACTTGTTCTTCTTGCCTCTTCATTTTGGGTGCCCAGCTAGTTGTTTCTTCTTACATCCTATTGCCTAGCTGGTTACCCCACTTTACAGATCATTTTGGAGATCCGCCATGTCCTCGTATTCCAGAAACTCGAGCACCCATCACATACCAAACAGATCCTGAAGGTTTCTTCGTTCTGTACAACTTTCTGTTGTTGCTGCTCTTCTTTGGCTATCCAGTCTGCTTTGCTAGTGATTCTCCCTTTATTTCTCTACTATTAAGCTCATTCTATATTTTTAATTTCATGTTACATTGATCATTAATTTGTGTTTGCACTGGGTCTTTGCTGGCATTTCCTATATGCTCCTTCATTGCAAGCACATCTTCCTCTTCCCTAGGACAGCTCCCTTCAGGTCTGTCAGCTGTCATGGACTGAGCTGTCTGAACGTATCCCTGTAGACATAGATGTCTGCATAGACAAGTTTTCCTGTTTTGTTGTCCAGACCCTTCCAGAATGTACTGCAGGCTAGGTAGCAGACAGGGCCTAAGGTGGCATTGTGAACCTAGCCCACATGGAGCTGGTGACTTGGTTCTACGATAAATATTGTCAGGTCCTAGGCTTCTTCTCTGAGGCCCCTAGACTCCCAAAAGACCTAGTTCACCTGGATTCCTTCTTGAAGTTCAAGACAGAAAAATGGTGAGCACTGTGTGTCTTTTCCATGGAAGATGTGAACAGCCATCTATTTTCCCAGTGTAAGGCACTGAAGGCAGACCAAAGAACAGTTCCACCCAAGTCTAGCGTAGTGAGCCAGTCGGTCTCCTGAAGTAGGAGTTACTTACACACGGGTGACTCAAAGGCACTCCCTAGCAAGGGTGACAGCTCACAGAAGTCTCTGGAGACGTTTGCTCTACTTGTATGCATCTCCCCAGCAGTTACTACTGCTTTTATAACTGACTCTATCTAGGCTGAGCAGGGTATACATCCAAAGAGAATAGTACATGCAGTAGGGATAAATCCTGGTGCTACTGCCAGTGGCCTCTCAGTCTGCTCAAGCCATGCAACTGTCAACCACAATCAGAGGGACTAGTTTGGTCCTATGCTTGTTCCTTCCCAGTCCGGCTGGAGTTGGTGAGCTCCCATTAGCTCAGGTAAACTGTTTCAGTGGGTGTCCCCATCATGGTCTTGATGTCTTTGCTCATGTTCTCACTCCTCCCACTCTTCAACTGGACTTTGGTTGCTCAATCCAGTGCTCCAATGTGGGTCTCTGCCTCTGTTCCCATCAGACAAGACTGCCTGACAAAATTGGGAGCATGGGGATGGGGGGAGAAGGGAGGGTAGAAGAGAATTATAAGGGGAGAAGGGGAGGGGTGAGGAGAACTTAAGGAATGAGATAGTCGAGAAGGAGGAAGGACAGAGATGAGTAAGGAAAGAGATATCTTGATTGAGGGAGCCTTTATACAGTTAGTAAGAAACCTGGCTCTAGAGAAATTCCCAGGAATCCACAAAGATGACTCCAGCTAAGACCCTAAGCAGTAGAGAAGAAGGGGCCTGATCTTGACTTGCCCTGTAGTCAGACTGATGACTATCTTAAATATCACCATAGAACCTTCATCCAGCAACTGATGGAACCAGACATTCTTTTTAAATTTTTTTCTTTTATTACATCATTTCTCCCCTTTTCTTCCGCTCTTTGCTCTTTCAAATTCATGGCTTCCTTTTTTCATTGGTTGTTGTTACGCACTGTGTGTGTGTGTGTGTGCGCGTGCTTGTGCTTGCATGTGTGTGTGTGTGTTTTTTCCACTCTCCAAATTCCTTAGTAGTTCATGTGGAGTTGAGGCTTTGCCCACCTCAATCCGTGTTTGTTGTTAGAGATGGCTCATTTGTTCCCGGCTGCTTAGACCCAAAATAATCACTCAGAAACTATAATATTTGCAATACTGTTTGGCCAACAGTTTAAGCGTATTGCTAGCTAGCTCATATATCCTCAACTAACCCATCTCCATTAATCTGCATCACCATGAGGTTGTGACCTACCAGCAAAGTTTTGGCGGGCTCCAGCTGAGGCATCTGTCTCCTGTGGTGGCTACATGGCTTCTCCCCGACTCTGCCTACTCTCTATATATATCTCTTCCAGCCTGGCTATATTCTGTTAAGCCATTGGCCAAAAGAAGCTTCTTTATTAACCAATAAAAGCAACACCTATACAGAAGGACTTCCCACACCACGTTACCATGCCTGTTGTCTTTGTTCAGCTTGGCTTTAGGCAGTAATATTGGTGACACTTTACTGGTTTGTTTTCCCCTGGTTCTCAGTCTTTCTGCCTCCTCTTCCACAGTGATCTCTGTGGCTTAGCTGCTTATATTGTGGATGTGTGAGTTGGGGCTGGGGCTCCACAGCTCTGCCTTTTGATTGGTTGTGGCTTTCTCTGAAGGTCTCTGACCATTGCAAAGAGAAGTTTCCCTGATGAAGGTGGGGACTACACTTTTCTGTGGGTACAGGGACAAATGCTTAGACTGCAGTTAGGGATTATGCTGGGTTAGTATCGTGGTGACGGTTGTGGGTTCTCCTCCAAGAGCCATGACTTCACAAGTCCTAGAGGGTTGGCTGGGTTTCTAGTATAAGGTGTGATTTCCTTCTTACTGAACAGGTCTTAGGTCAACTTAGAGAACAGTTAGTTTCCCACACAGAAGGAGGAGGGTAAAATAACAATAAGGACTCTGAAGAAGTCATATGGAATTATACAAAAACACTTATAGTGCATGTAAGCTGGTGTATAAACACATATGTGTATTTTCAATAAAGTTTTCCTATCCGGGCTGACAGTGCTTCCTCTAAGGGAGCCAAAGACCATCTAATAAAAACCCTAACAACTCATGAGAAGCCCTCTTTTGGGTTGGTCAGGATTGTCCAAGGGAGTCCTAAAACACTGCAGGCTGTTACTAGTACCCTTGGTTGTCTCCCAGAGGTAGAAGATAAGTCCCTATTGCTAAAGACATCATGCGTTTCAGACACGGGGCTCAGAGGCCTCCTCCCTGAGGACCAGCTTTCGTGGTCCTGGGAGGCTCGACTCAAACTTCCGTAGGAGGGAACCCTACGGGCACACAGTGACTACACCTTGACACGCTGTTTTTTCCTTTCTAATTGGTCAGTGTTGAGAACTTTCTCAGAGATTCTAATTGTTTTTGAAATTCTGTCTTTTTCATTTACTTCTATTTTCTTCGTATTTTTCAGATACAGTTTATTGTAAAGACTACACTTGGTCAGTCTCTGTTGCTCCTGTTATTTTGGCATTTGTTAGGTTTTATTCACTTGAAATTCTTAACTGGATTTTCTATGTTGTGGTTAAATTGCAAGGCTATATAGTTTTCTTTTAGCAGGTAGTGATAATGGCCAGCCAAATACACTGACGTCCACTGTGTTTTCAGGTCACAGAGTGGAAGGAAGGGCTTCACAGAGAGGTGGCCAAGTCTGGACAGACCTGGCGGTATGGACTGGGCTCCGTGACAATGGCTTCATGCAGTTGCCCTTGCTCCCAGGAGCTTATCTGGGATGTGATTTTTTTTTTTCCTTGCCCTGGGGCTCTGCCAATGGTCCTCTGAGGCTCAGGACTCAGTTCTTTCTCCTGTTCATGTGCTTGGCAAGCACAGCTTGTCCTTTTGCTGGTTTCTGCTGGATTGTTTGGAGTCTCGCCCTGTGCTTCACAGCTTCAGAGATGGCAGGCACCATGAAAGAAATGTACAGATTACCCCACCATATGTCTGTGCTTTCTAACGGTGTGCCTAGACCTGGGCACTTTCCAGACTTCCCTGTGTCCCCCGTATACTATACAGACATGCCCCTGTGTCCCATGGTACTTTCTGCAGGCCTCCCACATCCCTGGCACTCTTTGCTCATGTACCCCATTTCATCCCAGCATGCCCTGCAGATCTCCTTCCCTACGTCCCGTGGCATCCACTGTCCATGTGCACCCGTGTCCATGTAGCTCACTGCATCCCCAGGCTAACTTTGTGTCCAATGACCCTCACCTGACTTTGAGGAGTCCCCTGGAACCCTGGCCTGCACTGCGTCTGCGAGCTCCCCTCAGAAGGGCCCGTGGGCCTCAGAGGGAACCTGGTACAAGCCCCAGGGAGAGTTTGATTGAGGCAGAGATGACCCTAAGCCTTAGGGTTTATTTCTTCCTTTCCTGACTCACTGAATGCACCTGTATCCCAGTTTAAATGACTACTTTTGCTCTGAAATTAGATCTTTTTTTTTCTTCGATATGAATTAATGACAGACAGCTCTGTTTAGCAAGAAAGAAAGTCTAGAATGGATATGAATGTTGATTGCTCTCTGATGAGAACAAGAAGCGCCAGCCTTGTGCAAAGAGACTACAGCGGCCAGCTTCACAGGAGAGGAGTCTGTGGGAAGTAGCTGCTTCGATGGTGTGTGCACATGTCTTAGGCCCTGCTGAGACTTGTCCAGTCTGTCTTCAGATGCTAAGAATGGGCCCTCTTGCTTGACAGTATGAGAGAGAGCACGTCCCTCGTTCTCCAGTCAAGGGATTTAAGTAAAGACTGCCAGCTGCCGGCATTGGGTTTCTCTGATGGTTTACAATGAAGTGGGATTTCTGTAATCTCTGAAACTTTCCCTGTGTTAGGGCCTTCTGGAACCAAGCTTGTGTGTGGTCACTGGGTGTCTCAAGACTTTTTCCCCCTCATGGGCTCCTTGTAGACTCTGTTCTCACAGGACCCGATGGATGTGTTTGATGGGACCAGGGCTTGAATCCCTGTCCTGGATTAACCTTCCTATATCTCCTTATTCACAGGGTCCGGGAAGCTGCCATGACGAGCCTCATGGACTTGATGGTTCTGCTGGCACGGACAGAGCCGCAGCTGATTGAGGCCCATGTGTGAGTATCTGAGGACAGCAGGGGCGGCCCTGTGTCTCCATCCCTTCTCAGAGTAGCTTCTCTGACCTCTGTCTGACCCTCCACAGTTTGTGGGCCATGGCCAGGGACCTCCTCCTGTTCCATGTCCCCAGAACAGGATACCTACCCTCCCACCCCTGTACCAGGACCTCCTTTGATCTGGCCTGTTTGGCAGCCAGCTTCAGAGAGTGAGACCGTGGTGGTCTCTGAACTCAGGTTCTGTAGCCGAGATTCCTGCCGGAAGGGACCACCATCATTTGATCCAGCCCCGGTGATTCTCAACCTCTTCTGCCATACTGCTGAGGCCCGGGGTTCTACTGTTCGTTTCCAGCCTGGCTTCTCACCTTTCTTCTGTCACTGACCTGCAGTACTGTTGGTTTTCCCACCTCCATCCCAAGAGTTCATCAGCATCCACATGTGCCTGTTCTGTGGCTCCTGAGATGTTGGGGTGCAGGGTATAGTCGTAGCATCCTGTGTTGGTTAGGTTTTTTGTTTGTTGTTGTTGACTTGGCACAAGCTAGAATTATTTAGAAAGGGACTCAATTGAGAAAATATATCCGTAAGGTTGGCCTATAGGCATTTTCTTTATTAATGATTTGTATGGTAAATCCCAGGCCAGTGTAGGCTGTACCACTCCTAGGACAGTAGACCTGAGTTGTTTGTTTGTGTTTTTGTTTGTCGAGACATGGTTTCTCTATAGCTTTGTAACCTGTTCTGGAACTAGCTCTTGTAGACCAGGATGGCCTCGAACTCACAGAGATCCTCCTGCCTCTGCCTCCCAAGTGCTGGGATTAAAGGTGTGCGCCACCACCTTCTGGCTTTTTGTTGTTGTTGTTGTTTTCTGTTTTGTTGTTGTTGTTGACCTGAGTTGTATAAGAAAGGCTGAGCAAGGCATGCAAGCCAGTAAGCAGCGTTCCTCCATGACTTCTGCCTTTGTTCTGCCTCCAGCCTTGAGTTCTTGTCCTGACTTCCTGTAGTGATGGAGTATAACCTGAGAATCACAGTGGAAATGAACCCTTTTCTACCCAAATTGCTTTTGGTCATGGTGTTTTATCACAGCAATAAAAACCCTAACTAAGACACGTGTCCTGTTTGCAGCTGTGAGCGCGTCATGTGTTGCGTTGCCCAGCAGGCAAGCGAGAAGATTGATCGGTTCCGTGCCCATGCCGCCCAGGTGTTCCTGACTCTATTGCACTTCGACAGCCCCCCCATTCCCCATGTTCCCCACCGCAGAGAACTGGAAAGCCTGTTCCCCAGGTACTGTCAGGTACGGATCCCCTTTGCAGCCCAGCCCCTCCAAGCGTGGCCTTGAGGAAATCACTTTCTTTCAGGTCTGACGTGGCCTCTGTGAACTGGAATGCACCTTCCCAGGCCTTCCCTCTTATCACCCAGCTCTTGGACCTGCCCGCCTACAGATACCATGTCCTGCTGGGGCTGGCCGTGTCTGTTGGTGGTTTGACGGCGTCTACGGTAAGGAGGCACCTGGCTGTGCAGGACAAGGGGATCCAGGGGACTCCTTCCAGAGGGTTCTGTCCTTAGATGTGTGCACTGCACACGCTCAGTCATAACAGCCCAGCACCTGGAAGGCCCTCATGTCTTTGTAGTTTGCAGTTGTTTCTGTTCAGTCCTAGGCATTTACTGTCATTGACGTAGCCTTGGGGAACCGAGGGAAAAGCTAGCCACGCTGTGCCTCAGTACTACGTTTTGGGTTTTAGGTCAGGTATTCTACACAGAGCCTCTTTGAGTACATGAAGAGGATTCAGAAGGATGCTCAACTCCTGGAGAGCTTCAGTGGGACTCTCCTGAAGGTCTTTGAGGACAACCTCCTGAATGACAGGTAAGGGGTATCTTGAGGCTGGGAGGTCATGGTGCTTGTGCCCTGATCCTATTTCCACAGAGCCCAGGTTTCCCTGGGACCCATGGTCACAGTTAGTAGGTGAGGAGCAGGGCCCAGCACACTGTCAGGCCCTGCTGGCTCCCTTCAGTAACTTCAGTGAACCCCAGCATTCATCTCTGGGCCTCACGGGTTCTTGGCACGCACCTCCTGCAATCCCTCTCCCTCAAGGCACTCTGGGCAGGAAAGTGAGCTTTTCTGTGTGCGTGTGCAGATACCAGATCGCATGTGAAGTGGGATGAGGTTCTAGTCTGTAGGAATATTCCCTGACTTTTCTCGTCTGTAATAACCTCATCGAGAATATAAGAAACCGGAAAGGCAACCCATGAAGTATGTGGGGTGGTTCCTGTGGGTGTGCGAAACCTTTCTTGTTCCGCCTGCCCCAGAGCTCTCCCAGCCGTCCACTCTGGCAGCCACTGATCTATCACCAAAGTCGAGGTGGCCTATTGTGGCATTCCATTTAAATAGGCAGTGTCATCACCCTGTCTGTCTGTCCGTCTGTCCGTCCGTCCGTCCTCTTGTTGAGCTGACTCACTCGTTTGGGCATTTCATGTTCCAGGCCTTGCAGACAGCTGCAGTGCACATGCAGGAATGGATCTCTGTGGATGCACACCCCCTTTTCTTGGGTACACACTGTATGATGGACTGCGGGGCCATGTTGATTGTTAACTTCTCTGAAGCTGCTGGTCCCCTCTGTTCCATGTCTCAGCAGCATTAGTGTGGTCAGCCTCTCGGGTGGCTGTTCTGTTAGACACTCAGTCGCCCTCCTAGAGTCTGAGGTGTGCGTTCCCTGACACCACAGCTGTTTAGTTGGGTTTTCCTCCTCCCTGGTTTTGATGCCTTCCCTGGACCAGGCAAGTCCTTGTTAGGTCTGTGGTTTGAAGGAGCCCCCTCTCACCTGCCTTGTGCTTCAATGAGCTTTGTGTTGTTGCTGAGAAATCTTTGCCTAATCTGGAGGTCCTAGAGAGCTCCTCTCTTCCAGAAGCTTCAGCTTTACGTTCTATCTTTAGCCCTATGGTTTGAGATAGTTTTGTGAGTGCTCTGTTTAATTTTGCAAATGACTGTCCAGTTGTCTAGCTGTCCAGCACAGCCTGCTGGACTGCTCACTGTTCTGGCTTTGCGCCTTGTCAAAACCATCAAGTGTACAGGTGATGCTGGACTTTACCTGGATGTCTATACATCTTTACGTCAGGAACTCTGTTCTTACCTTTGCTTTAGGTAATCCTGAAAGGAGCCATGTTGGCTCCTGCTTTATTCTTACTTCCCATAGTCACTCTGGCTTTCTGTAAGAATTATAATTCTGGTGTCTGTCCTTAAGAATTTGGCAAGGCTGTCTTGGACTCTAGACTCATCTAGGAAGAGCCATCATGGTGTTAAGGGTTTGTGTTTTTGTTTTGTTGTTGTTTTTTTAACTTGTCAGTGGCATTTATTTGTCTGTCCCTCATGTGGGTGGCTCCATAGTTCTTGGGTGCTTGTGTGGGTCTCATGTTTGCTTATCCTATCCTCTCAGGGTATCTGTATCACTGCTGAAAATGCTGGACCAGCTGCTGTCCAATGGGTGCTTCGACATCTTTACTGCGGAGGAGAAGTAAGTATCTGTTTGCTTAGTGTTCCCTCTCTGTTAAACCTAATTGCCCAAATTTTAAAAAAAAAAATGTATTTATTGTTTTGGTACCTTGCTGTGTTGCTCAGGCTAGCTTCACTGTTACCCAGGTAGGATGGTAGACTTGGACAAGTGAAGTAGTCCACTTACTAGGGCAGGCAGGCAGAGAGGTCTGGAAGCTGATGGAACCTGAGGTGTGATAAGGACTAGATGGAAATAGAGCAGTATGTGGGCTGTGTTTTGGGGCCCAGGAGTGTGCCTGTGCCCATCATAGCGGGACAGAGGCTATGGGACACAGGGCACGAATGCTGCTTCCTGCTGTCTGTGGTTCCTCAGCCTCTTGTCCAGAGGAGCAGACAGTCCAGCTTCATGATGTCTCTAAGCCCTGGAACCACGTAGGTGCCAGGCTGCCTTCCTGAGTGGATGATACTTTTGTGCTTCACCGAATGAAAGCTAAGTTCCTTAGAAACTGCCTGGAGCTTTGGATTTTCCTTTTAAGCTAACTGGTGGTGGATTCAAATCCACTGGGTCTAGACGGGTCTCCTTTGCTCACTACTATTTGCTGCCCCCCTGAGCAGATCTGTGCTGTAGGGCATCAGGCTGGTGTCATGTTGAGAATATGTGTTCAGGTGCGAGTAGTAACTGGCTATTGATCAGTCAGGCCTGAGAGGGTGCCGGACTGTGGCTGATCCAGGGGCGTGATGCCAAGAGATGTGAGCATGTGGGAGCCATAGCAGCTGGAAAATGTTATGGCCGGCGTGTCTCTTTCCACAACAGAAATCTTTCAGAATACCAGGTGTGGCCAGGAAGCCATGTCACCCCACTCAGACAGGCAGAGCCGAGACGTTCATTAGACACCAACCACAGGAAGCTCATGCCTGGTGGATTAGCTGAGGAGTCTTTCAGGAATGCTGGAGATGACCAAGTTCAGTGTAGACCTGAATGGGACCATTGGGACCACAGAGTGTCTGTGGTGTGTGGGAACTTTAAGTCTAGAAGAACAAAAGAACTGTGCATGAGTCCTACAGGAAGACCAACTGAGGCTGTATTTTAGAGAGCTAGTCAGGGAAGGACTGAGATCTGGATCAAAGTCCCAGGGTACAGCAGCCTTCTCTTCATACCAGGGTTGACCTGGGAATTAACTGTCATGGACTAGCCTGGTGTGTAGTGGCCCAATATCAAGGTCATTGGGGATGACTAGGACCCCTCATATGGCTTCTTTCCATGAATAGTACCTGCTGGTAGGGTCTTCTCTGTTGGGTGGATAACTTGGATATGGTCATACCATAGCTGTGTTGGGCCTGCCCGCCCATGGGTGAGGTGGGTGATGGCATATCTTACCGGTAAGGAGATAGGATAGCTGTTCTCTGCTGTGTGTGTTGGGAATGAAAGAAAGTGGTTGATGCCACATAGCACAGCATCTGTTGAGCAAGCCGACCTTCAGGTTACTTGGTACCAACAGCACACTGGATGCCAGTACAGCATGAACCATACTGCTCTGTATTCCCGTGAAAGACCTACTTACAATACTGTTTTCCCCTTCAAGCCACCCCTTCTGTGTGAAGTTGCTCACACTTTGTAAGGAAGAAATCAGGAAGTCAAAAGACGTCCAGAAGCTTCGGGCGAGCATTGCAGTGTGAGTTTTAAGTGCTCCTGGGTGGAGACGGAGGGACTTGGTGGGAAATACAATTTTGATCACAAAGCTGTTTAAAATATGGACTGTTGGAGTGTTTATTGAGGAAGGGAAAGGCCAGACGACTGCTGTCAGTCTGGAGGGTCAACCTGACAGGAAAGCTCCATCTCTCACCTTACTGTATAAGCCCAAGGAATGTGAATACAACTATGCCAGTTCAGGCATCTGGGCACAGAACACTGGTCATGTGTAGGCAATGTGATAGATACACACAGGCACATGCTAACACAGAGATCTCATTATGTATAGGCAAGTACATGGGAACACATTAGTGTACAGTGCACACTTGGATACATGACCGTATACCATATGGGAGCGCACTAGCACATAACACACAGGTGTGTGTATAGGTGCACACACATTAGCACATGGCCCAAGGTTTATGCTGTGTACTTGTCGGATCTCAGATGTGTCTTGGGTAACATGAGTATGGCACGGCTCCATGTCCCCTGTGGGCTCTCTGCAGGCTCTGTGGGATGGTGCAGTTCAGTGGTGATGTACGACAGAAGGTCCTTCTGCAGCTGTTCATCCTCCTTGGCCACCCTTTCCCTGTGGTGAGTGTGTCCGCCCCATCTCAAGGCCAGCTAAAGGTCTGTGCTCATGTACGGCCTTTGGTTTAGAAGTAAACACAGGGGTGAGATGGTTTCCAGGCGTGGGCAGCCCTGGGTCATGGTAGTCAAGTGGCTGGCGTTCGTATGAAAGGAACGTGGGTGCTGGTACCAGGCAGGATGAGCATAAGGAAGCATTGCCGAGGGTGGGGTGCCAACAGCCCAGGGTTAGGGTTCCCCTCCTACCCAAGAACTCTCTAAGTATCCCAAAAGGAAATTCTGCAAAGGACAGTAGTTTCTTTGAGGTAGAGTGGGATGGCCCACTGCTCAGCCTCTTTGTCAGAAAGGCACATTACGGGGTCACAGGACACTAGCAAGAGGGACGGACTCCCAGGCAGGAGTCCCTTCTGACAGAGGCTGCTGATCTTCCTTCTGCTGCATGTCTGAGATGGCGGAAGTGTCTGGGCTGTGGCCAGATTCATCTCCCGGGGGTGATGGGTTTTCCTCTTGTTGACCTGCTGTTCTTGTCCCAGATCCGGAAGGCCACAGCAAGCCAGCTGTACGAGATGGTGCTCACCTATAGCGACTTGGTGGATGCAGGTGTGCTTGATGAGGTCATGTCTGTGCTCAGTGACACAGCCTGGTAAGTCGGGCCTGCCTGAGCGGCTGCCACTTTTCTCCTGTTCCCCTTGCTTCTGATGGAAAGAGGGGAGACATTTCTAACCCTCAACAGCTTCACATAGGGCTGAGGACAGACACATCCTGGGAGCTTCAGGAAAATGTTTAATGTGTGACTGCTTTTCTCTTGTAAGCAAGGTGGGCAGAGTGGCTCAGAAGCTGGTGTATTCAGTAACTTGAATACAGGGCCATCAGGATGCCACCAAGTGGGTGTCCGTTAGCAACTTTTATTTTCCTGCTGCTAGGGCCATGTGATCTTTCCTGTTTTAATGGCCTTAGAGACTTGTCTTCAAAGTCAAGAAGTAGAGAGGAGATGGTGGTGGTGGGGTGTACAGCCTGTGGGTGTGATTCTCAGACACTCCAGCCTGAGCCTGGAAGCAGTTACCTTATATGACCTGTGATCCAGGCACTGTACACATTCATATACATGTTTGCATACATGATCACATACATACAGCTGCTCATAGTCACATATGTATGCACTACCAAGCTGACTTGTCCCCTGTAGCAGATATACTATTTGGGAGGCACAGCCAGGTAGCCCAAGTTACTGCTACTGCAGACACTGTCCACTCAGACTGATGGAGAGGGGTATTGCTGACCTCAAATGCTGGCAGGTCTGTGGGGTGGTAGCAAGTGAGGGTTTGTGATGTATTCATGCATGCTCCCCAGAACAGCGATCTCCATAGGAGCTCACGTTAGGATGTGGCCTTCCTGCCTAGGTGAAAGCTGTGGGGGCCTGGAAGGCCAGAATGCATTTCAAGGTCTTTGCTGTCAGTAGAAACTTAACACAGTGCCTTCTGAGGAGACACTGGACATTGCTTCCAACTTTCTAAAACACTCATCTTGAGAAAGGATAGCAGGGAGGGAGGAGGAACTTATATGTGTATGCATGTGTCAGGGCTTGCATATGTGAGTGCAGTTGCCTGCCGAGGCCAAAAAAAGATGTCCAAATCCCCCCAGAGCCAGGGTTACAGGTGGTTGTGAGTTGCCCTACATGGGTGTTAGGAACTCTGAAGAATATGACACCTGGTTTACAGAGGACTATTTTTTACTAACCCTTACAAAACATGCTTTGTACCTTTCTATTCAATGAAATCAAAGGCAGCTGAGTTCTAATGAAGATGCAGAAGCCTCTTAGCCTGAGGTCGCGTCTCTTCTCTATGTTCCTAGAACAGGGGCCTGGTATTTACTCTGGGGGAAGAAACTGAACCATGTTGGCTTCGGGGACTCAAATGCTTTACTCCCCAGGGACGCAGAGCTTCCAGTTGTAAGAGGGCAGCGGAATCACCTCTGTGACCTCCTTGGCGTGCCCAGACCCCAGCTGGCTACAAAGGTAACCAGTGTTCTGAGGATACATGGGGCCTGTGCTGTCTGCTGTTCTGAGCTCCTGTCTAAAGTAAACCGGGTCCCACAGTCGGTTCTCTCATCACTCCCTGCCTGGATGTACCTCCTATTGGGGGGCTCTGTTTCTCTGAGGACACCTGTCTCCCTGGGGCCTCAGTCCTCTTGACTGCCTGTGCTTGGCCGTGGAAGCTGCTGTCGGATGTTAGCTGTGGCGTAGGCCGTGGGCTCCCTGCCCTTATAGAACCCAAGCCTCATGCTGGAGTCCTAGGCGAGTCAGGGACAGAGGAACATTCCAGTCAGCCAGTCCATCTCCACCCTTGGGCTTTTCCTGGCCTGTGGGATACATCCCTCCCTAGAAGACAGTTCAGGTGTGCCTGACAGAGATGACTTTCCTACCTTGCTGCAGGCCCCCATGGTGGGGATTCTGTCTTACTCCAATCAGTACTGACGAAGCAGTGTTTGCGTTTGTCTCGGTTGTCCTTTAATTATGTCTGAATTTTGGGGGATGCACTCTGGAGCTGTTATTAACTAGGTGTTCCTACACTTGACATCCCCTCTGCCTCTGTTAGTGGTGACATCTGGTTAGCTTGTCTCCTGTACAGTCAATTATGCCTTTCCGTCATTTACAGATCTGTATTAATTAGTCTTTCATGTTTACTCTAATTACTGACAAGTTTATGTTCATAGTCTCTGTTTCCTATTTGACCTTCCTGTTTACGGTTTCTTTTTCCTTTATCTGGATTTTAGTTCCCATCCTGTTCACTGTTCTGTTCTTCTGTCCCTGATTACCCTGGGGCCAGCGCTCTTTCCCTGCCTACTGCCTCATCCCTGGCCTTGACCTCTGAGCTGGGCTTGCCCTAACCCTGAGGCCTTGGTATTTAGCTGACACAGTCTTGATGGTCAGCTACTGTTTTTCCTGTTTGCTTTGATGATCTGGCTTTAAACCCTGAGCTCCTGTTACCTCGCATGCTGGAAAGGATTTTGTTCTTTCCCTCTTGTGTGTGCTATGCTGGGTTTGTGTGCCTGAGTCCTCCCAGGGCCTCCCCCTTGAGGAGCCAGGGTGTAGTCTCAGTCTCCTATGTGGAGAGCGAACTTGAGTTTTCAACTCTGTTCATTCACATACTTCAAAGTTCCCTATCAATGGAAAGAACAATTTAGCAACCTACTCTGTCCACCAACCTGCTAGGATCCTGGGACGTGGCAGCCTTTAGCCATACATCAGAGAGGGTGGGGACTAGCCTGACGTTGCTGTGTATCTTTACAGCCTGCTCCCGGAAGCTGAACTGTTGCCTGCCTAGCTGGGATGCCCTGCCCCGAGGCGCTACAACAAGCTTTACCATCATGGAAACCTGGTGCCACACACCGGAGAAAGGTGGCACATGCTGCTAGCTGGACTGGGAGGCCATCCACAGAGAGCAGTAACTTCATGCATGCTGTCTTCTGGTGGCCTGTTCTGCCCACTTCTGCTGTCCTAACACCATGTGCTTCCCATTAAATCATGTTCATACAGCCCGGCCTCCATCTCTGGGTGAAGATCCACCGTGGGTTCCACTCCTGGTGTTTTGCTGGGTGTTAAGCACTGAGTGATTTCTGTAGCATGGCAGATGCTCACTCCCTGGTGGAAGTGTGAAATGCTGGGCACCTGCAGTGGCGGGAGCTTTCTCCTCCCTCATGCTGAGCCAGCCACGTCCCCAGCAGTCCTATCATGGTCTGAGCAAGAGATCCTCAGAATCCAGTGTCCCTGTGGGACTACTGGACAGCTCTGGTCCTTGGTCCTGGATCCTTTGCATCTCCTGTCCCAGGACGTACATTACCTGTCCTGCTGTGGTAGCTCCATGCCTGTCTCTTTGATCTGTCTATATCCGAGGCCTGGGAGCCTGCTGAATGTTGCTCATTGAGCTTTAACCTCAGAGAGAGCGAGAACATGAGTAGTCTATGAGCTGAAGAGCAGAAAGAGCAGCTAGAGGCTCTGTGTGCCCAAGGCCATGTCCCCGCTTCTAGTAAATGAAATTTTGGTGGTAGCAGAGCAGAGTAGATAAAAGGCCACAAGAAACCTAATAAAGCTGGAACTCTACCAAGCTGTGTTCTCAACACTGGTAGACGGAAATCTGTCCTCATGGAAGGAACTCTGGCTCTTGCTGGGTCTTCACTGCGTTGGGTGAAGAAGAAACATCCAGGAATGGTGTGCACACCTTTCATCCCAGCAGAGGCAGGCGGGTCTCTGAGTTTGACGCTAGTCTGGTCTGCATAGTGAGTTCCAGGATGACATAGAGAAACCTGTCCCAACAAAAACAGAAGAAACCCTGGATTGATGATCCGTCACCATATAAACTGGGTGTGGTGGTAGGTGCCTAGGATCCCAGCACTTGGAAGGATCATCTCTGAGGAGGCATACGGAGCATTTTAAGCTGGGCTGGGATATAGGAAACCCTATCCCTTCCCATAAATAATAACAATTCTCCCTGCAAAAATGTTAAGAGGTAGAAATGTTCAGAGATTAGGATAAGAGCTGGAGAGATTTGCTCAGTGGTTAAGAAAGCAGAGTAATCTTGCAAACAACTTGAGTTCATCCCTAGCATCCATAAAACCACCTGTAACTCCATTTTCGGGGGAGTTCAGTATCTTTGGCCTCAGCAGAAACTACACTCACATGCAATATTTATACTAAAAAAAAAAAAAAAAATTAAAAGACAGATTAGGAAACAAACCAGAAGAGCTTCTGAGAAAATAGCAAAAGCAAAGGTCCTATATGGATGAGGCCCCAGCTCAAGACAGAATTCTGCAAGGTCAGAAGCTACTCAGGAGGACAGCTGGTAAGTCCATATTGTATCCCTGCTTCCCAGACTAGGAATGTTCATGGTTAGACAACCAATCCTTGGGGGTGGGGGTGGGATCTGAGCTGGCACCAGGTGCCCTGGGTAGGTAAAATTACTGTTAAGAAGGCAGATGGTAGTCCAGTGGTTACCAGCTCACCAGCAGACATTGGAGTTGAGGAAGACAGTAAGATCTGCATTATACTGAAAAATTATTGTCAGCTTGGCTAAATCATGTGTATGGTGTATGTCTTCGGTGGGGTTTACTATTGCTATGAGGAGACACCATGACTATGGCATCTCAAAACACATAATTGCAGGGGCTCACAGTTCAGAGATTCAGTCCCTCATGGCAGGAAGCACGCAGGCAGGTGCTGGAGAAATAGATGAGTATCCTACATCTTGCAGGCAACAGGAAGTTGACTGACTCACTGGGCAGTGTCCTGAGTATATGAAACCTCGAAGGCAACCCCCACGGTGACACACTTCCTCAAGAAGGTGTGGTCCAGATTAAAGATATGATCACCAGCCTCAAGGTCTGGATTAAAGGCCTGTGTCACCTGTCCAGCCTCTAACAAGACCACACTTCCTACAACAAGGCCACACCTCATAATTGTGCCACTACCTATGAGCTTATGGGGGCTAAATACATTCAGACTACCACAGTGTAACTACCATTCAAGAAAGCGGGCTGTAGTAATTCAGTACAGTCAGAGTCTCCAGGATCCCCAGCTGAAAGCAGTGATTTCTGTGGGTGAACTTTAAGCAGCAAAAAATGACCTCATGCATGCAGTTTCCGTCAGGATACCAAGCAAGGGAGAAATGCATGGTAGCTAAATATGGGGTTTAACATACAGGTAAAATTTCTTCAAGTGGACAAGTGAGGTAGAAAGGGGTCTTAGTCCTGTGATCTGAATGAGGGTGGTGTGTAGGAAACGCAGACACCAGGTGATTGGAGCTGCGGAGGAAGGTATCACAGCAGCAGCGGAGAAAGTCTTAACATGAATGACAAGAAAAAGGAGGATAAACTGTGACAAACATCAATAAGAAAGGAGATTGTTGACACAACAGGAGTGCATTCAAGTCCCCGTTTAAAGACAAGACTAACCTGGAGGGACACAGACAAAACTTGGGAAGGCTCAGCCTTGGAGAGGGAGATGCCCACGTTTCCTTGAGCAGGAAGATGTCAGAGCTTTAAACCTTGGATATATGTGAATGTACCAACAATGTTTAAGCTGGGCACACGTCTGTAGCCCACTGCTTAGGAGGTGGAGATAGGAAGGAGAGTTCAAGGCCAGCCTGGGCTACACAGTAAGACACTACCTCAGTAACAGAGTAAATCAGGAAGAGCAAAGCCAGCCTACCATCTGGGAAGGGCACTGAAATTGAGAGGCAAAATCTTATCATTTAATGTGAAATGCCCAAAAGGCTTGAGTTTGATCATTCTCTCCCAGGTGGTGGCACCTGTGGGAATTAGGGCCTGTTGTGAAGACGTGGGTTGCTGGATGACAGGGTTTAGAGCCCGGTCGAGAGCTGTGAAGAACAATGCCTACCATCAATGCCTTCCCTACCATGACAGACCGTACCCTCAAACCACGAGCCTATATATCCCTCCAGAAATTGCTGCTTGTTTGGTATTTGGTCACACTAATGAGAAAAGTAGCTAGTACAGATGGTTTGAAAAATGAAGAAAAGTTTGGCTTAATAGACATGTCTAGAACCTAGAAGCCAGAACTTTGATAATATAGACTCCTGCTTTTAAAAGGTAAAGTAGTATTTTAAAAATTACCAGTTGGTCCAAGTTACCAAACACAGGAAATTTGCCTAAAGTGGTGCTTAGAAGATTAAGACCAAGTTATGTAGCAGAAACTAGAGTGAAAACTAAGGAACAGAACCTGAGGGGAGGGGCTGGAGGAAGCAGAGAGTGACGGACAGTTGTCTGTGGAGGGGAGTAGAGCAGACAAGGCTCAGAACCTGCAGTGGGTGCAATCCAGACACCTGGCGGCAGCCTCAGCTGAAGTGAACGAAGTCCCGGCCTTCCTGCAAGTTCAGTGACTTCAGGTTGTCTTCAAACGCACCCCCTGTGAGGTCCTGTGGGGAGAGGAGATCCAGCTCAGTCAGGCTTCCTCTTGCTCTTGACTGCTGCAGGGAAACCCAAGGCCCAGTGGGAGCTACAGCTAGAACTGCTGCTGTACAGCTGTGTTGGCCACCAGTAGGGTGAGGTACTGAGAGGCGCCCTTGCCAGAAGGCAGATAAGGCACTCTCTGGTTTACCTTTCCTTCCTGCTATTCAGGGAACTTTGTCTCATCTCTGCAAGATCTACCAAGTGCCCACCCCGTGACTCTTCTTACCTGTCACCCCCACCCCCAGTCCCTAAAGGGAGCAAGGGCCATAATCTTGCTAAAGAACAGCCCCACTAGTGGCATCTGGTAGGATGTGGGAGGGACCGCTTTGTTCCTCTTAAGGCATCTGTCCTTGGGCCAGCACAACAGGCCTCTGAGCTGGGCTGTGACACTGACCCTACTTGTCCCATCATTGCTACTGGTGGTCAGAAACACTCGAGTGAATTGGGCGGTGGTGGCGCACACTTAATCCCAGCACTTGGGAGGCAGAGGCAGGCGGATCTCAAGTTCTGAGATCTGAGTTCAAGGCCAGCCTGGTACAGAGTGAGTTCTAGGACAGCCAGGGCTACAAAGTGAAACCCTGTCTCAAAAAACAAAAAGTAAAAGTGAAACACACCTGAGTGAGCTGCCTGAAAAAGCAGAAATGTCCACAGTGGCCACACCTGCTGCCCTTCCTCTTTTCCCTCTCACTTCCCCTCCTTTCCCTTCCCCATATTCAGAGAAGTGACCGGGCTTGGGCCAGGGTAGGTCAGAGTCTGCCCCCATGAGACTTAACGCTGCTGAACACGGAACTACTCACTGGATGCTCCTGTGTTTAACATGTTCTGGAAGAGTGAGGACACATGAAGGGAAGGGGTGTCTGCAGGGCACAAGCCAACAAGGGTTAACACCGGAGTTGTAGAGGACTCTGCCATCACACTCCAAAGGAGAAATCCCAGTTATAAACATGGCAGAGTGAATCTAAATTCCCACCAGATGAGTGGTGCTCAGCTTTAAGTGAGACACCCCCAGACCACAGCAAGATAGTTCTCCAAAAGGGTGAGAATTTTTGGAGCTCTTCTGAGCCTGGACATACATAGGGTACTTTGGACACTTCGTCCAGCCCCTTGGAACACTTGCACTGTTCTTAAGGAGGCTGTAACTCTGCCCTCTTTTCTAATAAAGATACTTATGAAAAGAGGTGGAGGGCTAAATGTGACCTGCAGGCCAGTGGTTGCTAACCTGTGTCGAGCCGTCTTCTGTGTGTCGTGGGCCACTAAAGTTCATTTAAGTAAGAAATGTAAAAATAGCCTCCTGTGGTGAGACCCTGGAATGTGACCAGGGAGCAGAAACGATCATCTCAGCCTTACCAAGAGAATGGGCTGCCTAATGTGAGGCCGGGACAATTAGATGTACCAAATAGATTAACTAGGGACCCCTAGTTAACCTTTCTATCAAAATAACTTCTCACCGTATCACAGATAGCAGAAGTCCTAGGCATAGGTGTGGGCCGTGTAAACCGTCACGATCAAGAAAATCCATCTCAGAATGAGGGGGAAAGTCAAATAATGTAAGTTACTCGAAAATATACCATCAGCTTTAAAATTCTGGAATTTTAAATGGCTTCAGTAAAGTGCTTTTCACATGCATGGGGACCTGCGTTCAGTCTCTGGCACCTCTGTGAAGGCTGGTGTGGTGGTATACACCTGCATGCCAGCAGTGGGGAGTCGGGGACAGGAGAACCCCTTGGTTTGCCTCCCTGCTATAGTCTTGCCCAGTCAAGGGAGCTGAGTGAAAGAACCTGCCTCAGTAGTGATGAAGATGATGATGAAGCCAGTGTCAACCTCTGACCTCCCCTAGCATATACAAATATACCACACACACAAAGAATATCCAAAATATGTAAGACAATCACAGGCAGGTCCATTTTCCTTACTGTGTTAAGAGAAATGCTACACACTGCTAGAAGATGCTTGGTAAGCAGTGGAAACAGCTAAGGAGGGGCCTTTTCTCCCACAGTATCATCCGCTCAATGCTGTTGTGTACCTGTTTCCAGGTGTGACTGTCATCTGCTACTGTGTGACACCACTCCATAGGAGACACAAACACATAGACGTGTCTCACCTAGAACCCACGCCTACCCCTGTAACGACCGGAAATGAGCTGTCACAGATTGGAAGCCATGGGTTGAAACACAGGCTGGAGTTCTACCTATGGCCCAACGTGTGGGGGACAGCCACACTGTTTGCTGAGGGCCCACCATAACCATCACTGGTAACGGGGTGACAGCACTATCTTTGAAGCTGGTAATACCTTGTCCTGTGGCTGCTGACATTTAGGGTGGCCATGCTGTCTCTCCTGATAGATCTGGAAATTTCCATTAGGACTTTGAGAGAGACAAACTATCCAAGAATAAAAGGAGTCAAGCAAATAGTAGACAACTTACCAGCACTTGCCGTGAGACCTTTAGGAATAAGACTCCCCTGGACCCAAAGCTGGAGCGGGATGGTGGGTGGCTCTGAGGCCAGCGGTGAGCAGATACAGTCTGACAAGAGTGACTGAGATACAAGGTCTGCTTAGCTCTGCCTCAGCCTGCACCCAGAAGCTTCTCAGTGAAAAGACAGGCCCATTTTACTACAGTGAGGAAAAGCCATGGATGGCTACTGACCATCAGGATTGCACACAGTCAATGGCCAGGGGCAGGTCCCACGGGCAGGACATACTAGCCCTCCACAGCCCAGTACACATCCCTTCCAGGTGAACTGTGGTGGATGCTTTCTGTTAATAAACATGATGTTCTGTATAAGAAAGAACTTCCTATGCAGTATTACCATAGAATCCGTTAATGTCACCCCATTAAAAGAGTTCTGGGAATAATATCTGAAGAGCAGACTCCCGAGAGAGGGAATCTGCCACATGCTTGACCAGCCAAGAAACAGTGTCCAGAGCAGATGAAGAAAGGTTAGCCCTAGCTCCACCAAGAACCTTGCTGTCCCGTCATTGTTAGCTTGGCACAGTTGTTGGGGACTCGTTTCCTGGAGAGACTGGGATTCTGTGTAATACTGACCACAGGTAACCTTGTTTTCCACAGAAACAGGATGCTTGGCACCTATGTCCACATGACCAAAAGCAGAGAAACCAGATGAACCAAAGCAGGGTCCTGTGGCCCCACTGGTCACCACCAGGCTGTTACTCTATGTGGGCAAGGCTGCCCTTTGTGAAACATGAGCCACAGTGCTTGAACGTGGTGGCTGGGCTCAGAACAATGACTTTGAGAACAGCTTTAGGAGGGTGTTACCAGGTGTGCCCACCTCATCCCCCACCTCTAACTTAGCTCAGGGTGTTTTTATGGCCACCTGTCTCCTCCAGTCTTAGATTCCTTTCTAGTGCTGGGATTAAACGTATATACCACCCGCCACCTGGCCTCTATGGCTAACTAGTGTGGCTACTGGGATTAACGGTGTGTGCCACCACTGCATGGCTGACTAGTGTGGCTTTGCACCCTGATCTTTAGGCGAGTTTACTTACTAAGGCACAAACAAGATACCACTATAGCTGATTTACAATAAGGATACAGGTAGCGGGCTATGCTCTGGTACCCATGGTCAGGTCTTGTCCTTTGTTTTAGTCACTGGGTCAGAGTGGGAAAGCACCAAGGAGCCCCACAACCAGAGCCAACACTCACCAGCTTCACACAGATGACAAAGGGTGGCCGGGCAGCTTGGAGATGCAGGATGGGGACCTTCGGCTTGGGTCTCTCCTATAAAGATGGTGTCAGCCATGAGTCACTAGGGCGTCACACAGAAGGAACTCCCTGGAACCTGTCCTAACCATAGCTCTACTCTCAGTAGCTTGTGGTCAAGTAGCTGATGGGAGTCTTGGGCCAGTCGGGGCAGGACAGGTGGTTGTGTCCTGGATTGTGGCAGCCCCAGCCACCTGATAGCCACAAGAACCAACTCTGGTATGCCAACATTGATGCCCATGCCGAAGGAACACGTAGCTGTTTCCCCAAGGACGGGGGCAGAGTCCTAAGGGGTCCTGGAGACTCTTTGAGGGCTACATTTTTGGGCAGAGCCAAAAATGCCAAAGTATAAGGGGAAGCTGGCATGGTATGGATGATCCTCCCCTGTAAGGTGCTTTGGTGTTCTGCACACGGCTACATACCTGAGACTCCTCATGGCAGTAAAAGCCCTTTCTGATCTTGTTCTCATCAACATCACAGAAGGCCACCACCTGGGGGTGAACACGGGCAGGCAGGTCAGATGGTGGTCATGGGTGTACGGTAAAGACATGACAGGATTGAGGGAGTCAGGAGAGTGGCCAAGGGATGAGGAGGACAGGGTTCTACCTTGCACCGGCTGGCTGCTGTCAGGCTGCGGTATAACCTACGCCCCTGCTTGCCTGCGTTCCAAATGGTGAAGGACTTCCAACGGGGCAGGACTTGTTCCTCTAGGAAGTGGACACGGTGGGTCCAGATGGTAACTCTGTAGCCAAGCAGAGGGGAAAGCTAGGGCTGGTCAGATGTTGTGGGCTCCAGAGCCACCTTACCCCTTAGTCCTGGGGACACATGTGAACGGCTTACATGAAGTTTAAACCAAGGGAGATCTGGCTCTACCTACCACTGTCATAGTTAGAGGTCACCATGAGCCACCATGTACAGCAATGCTCTTTGGGAAGCCTTTTAGCCACTCATATTGATCCCAATTTCTATTTGGGACCCTGAGACTTGATGGATGAGGGCCTCTCCACAGCTGCCAGTTCCAGCAGCACACGAGTGTCTCCAGTATGTGGCAGGTGTGTATACGTGTGCACAAACAGGAGGGTTCATGCAAAACCCAGTGGCTGGCATCAGGTATCTTACCTGAGACAGGGTTGAACCTGGAGCTCGCCAACTCAGCAAGACTACCAGCAAGCTTCAGGGACCCTGTTTCCTTTCTCGGCACTGGGGTTACAGGTGTGCATTGCTTTTTATGTGGTGGTAGAGAATGAACCTGGCTCCATCAGTAAAGTGCTTGCTGTAGAAACATGAGGACCTAAGTTCAGTCTCCCCAGGTTCCAAATTCTAAATGTGGCAACTAGTCCTTCTGAGTTAGAAAGACAAAAGGAGTGGGAGTGGACCAAACCACCCTGGTCTAGTTTCACAGAAGAGTCAATACTCACAAGGAAGGCCTGGGTAAGGTCATAGTCACACTAGGAAATAAACTTTCTACCCTAGATGTCCCTTTCTGGGCACAGTAGGCCCTTGGATGAAGATCTCCAGGGCTGGTTCTTTCTCCTGAGATCTCCTCACCTGCTGCCCCTCATCTAAGGGCCTCCCAGACCCTAGCGCTCTGTCCTTTGGATGGTGCCTCCCTTGTATTCAGGGCTGCGCCTCCTGATGTCACTACCCACATCAAAGCATGCTTTGCCTGTTCAGCATTTCCCTGAGATCTCCTATGTTAAAAACATTCTAATTAGGGTTATGCCTAGCTCAGTGGTTTTGGTAGGGGATTCCCTGGAGGTTCTGGGGAACAACATTTAATCCTGAACCCCAGCCAGAACCCCAGCCCGTTCTCTCGATGGCTGCAGTGCCCCCTTTATAAGAGAAAGTCACACACAGGACAAGCTTCAGCCCCATACATACACCTCTCTGCAGCTATGCTGTCACCCAAGGAAAGGGAAGACCCTGAGAACCTCGATCTCACATCAGACCTCAAGCAAGGGTCAGACACTTCAGCAATGTCATAAGCCAAGAAAGGACCTGATTTCTATCTCTCAGCAAACTTTAGAGTGATGGGCCCAACCAGTTTCAATATGGGAGCAGAAGGCAGGAGGGTAGAGTCAAAGGCAAAAGATCAAGACTAGCTGGCACCCCCAGCACACCCCTCTGTCTGCTCTAAGTGTAGGTGAGGGTTCTCAACAAAATGAGGCTGAAGCAACCCCAGGCTTCTCAGACCCTGTGAGATGCCAGCAGGCCAACCTCCATCTCATCCTAGCCCCAAGCGCCCCCTTCCCTTCTGCCTCCAGCAAGGGCCTTTGCAGGAAACCTGCATGGAGACAGCCCACTGTGAGGGTTCGTGGATATGAACACAGGAGATGTAGCAGGGGCTATGAGGCATCTCTGTGTCCTCTTGGGCTCCTCAAGGAATGCCCTGCCTAGACGCGGCTAGAGGGCTGCTTGTCCTCACTTGACCTCTGAGGACACCCTGAGAGTTTGTTCCCATAGCGTTGGTCACTTCAAGGGGTCTGTTCTGGTCAGTCCCTGAGCAAGATGTGATGTATGCATCAAATCCATGAGGGTACATGCACAATGCTCTTGTGCAGTATATGTGCACACGTGCCGTGACTGCCCATGTGCCTTTCTGCATGTATGTATGTGACATGGTCATAGGTAAGTAAACATGTACAACAGCAGCTCCTGCTAGAGACTAAGCACAGATGATGTGTTGGTGAGATCCTGCCCACATACTCACTGGGTCCACTGGGGTATCTCTGTGTGAGAAAAATCTCTGATCCTGCTATGCTCCGTCTATGAAGCTTACTGTGAAGCTTACTTACAGGATGGTGGGTTTAACTGGACAGTGAAGTCAACTTGGTTCCCCAAAACCCTGGGCACCAATGATTTTATACTGCAATCCCAAACCTGTCCACCAGGACTGGGTTCTAGCTGGAAGGCCCTTAGCATCCCGAGTTTTGTTAGGTGGCTTCTAATGGGAAGGGGGATTGTGTGCAGTTAAAAGGGGTGACGCAGAAATTGCTGGACATCTGGGCCTTGCTAGAGCATCCTGCACTGGTCTTGTTTCTCCTAGGAATCTGCTTGGAGAACAGGCCGTCTGGCAACCCAGCAAGTTTGTCTCTTTTTGTTAAGAGACCATCGACTTAGAGCTGGGGTCAACAGCTAAGGGAACTGGTTTTCTTGGACCCAAATGCCTACATTGAGGCTGAACGATCACAGACTTAGCACTGTACCAACCCACAAGAGTCCATGGGTAAGCGGAAGCTAGTGGGGTGGGAAAGGACCCTATTCCCAGGAGGCATGGTCACTGGTCAGTAGCATCTGTGGCCAGAAACAAAAGGCTATAAAAATCTTGCCAGAGGCACACAGGGGATGGCCCACCTATCCCGTCAGGTACCACAGCAGCTGTATGTCAGCACAAGCCATCTTGGGCTGAATACCAGGGGTCAGGACGTGTCTGGTCCCCTCATCCCTACTTTTGAGGTGCATCTTGTTGCTGCACTTATCTGGGAAAAAGGGCCCTATTTAGTTCTCTCCAAATATTTGATAAAAGCACAAACCCAGCATCATACTGCCAGGGAACAAGGTCAGAAACATACTTCTCTTCTGACCTCAACTGTGAGAATGGGAAGCTAACAGCTTGCAGAATATAGGCAGCCTGGGTATCAGGAAAGGTTAAACATATCCTAAGACTAAAGAACCCTCAGTGAGAGTATGAAGGCACCAGATGAAGTGGCAACAGTCGGTTCAACTGCTCACGAGTTTAAGGAATGCTTGATTTCCTGAAGGGGCTATTCTCCTCTATGTCCTTTGGTATCTGAGGTATTACACACATGAACAAATGGCACAAATTCAGGCCATTTTGAGCCTGAAATAAAAACGACAGAATCGAGGTACTGCCACCTGAAGACTTCTGATAGATTAGACAAAGACAACTCTCAAGCGAGCCTCACGCTGTAATTACAGCTGCTATCCTGGGAGGTGGTGCGGCTCACAGCTTAAAGACTTTAATCCAACACAGAAACTCACATTAGATCACTTATTTTTATGCTGTGGGTGGCAAAGCTTACTGTGAAAACACAAAGGCATGAACTCTGTCTACACAGGCCGCTCTGCTGAGGGCGTGAGGAGTGCCTGCTGGGTGGGCTGCAAACCACCACCCAGGAGTCGAGCCTCACGGACGAGCATGGGAAGGACCCCCGTTATACAAATGACCGTATCCCAAGGCTGCTCACGCTCACACGGTCCACGGGATGACGAGAGATGAGTGTAGTGTTTCAGCCAGTAGAATCGGTACCAGAAACACCTGCAGCTTGGTGCCCAGATAGCTCCCAGTGTTCTGGGACTAATTTCTACCTCTATCAGTGGACACTGGGAAGGGGTTCCTTCTTGGGAGAAACACTGCTGTGTGTTTTAATGCAGGTATAGTTTACACCAGATGATGTAAACCTATACTAGCTGATTTTTAAGACAGCTGTACTCTTGGTTTGTATCTGTTTCATTCGTACTGCTGAACCTAGTTTGCTAATGTGACTGAGGTTTTAGTGAGAAACATGGTCTGTTGCTCGTTCTCTTGTTAACACCTCTGTCTCATACACAGCACAGACTGAAGAGTTAAGAAGCTCTCTCTTTTATACTAAGAGCAAGCCTGGTTCCACATCTTTAACCAGTGGGCTTGGAGAGCCAAGGACAGATGGCCCGCGCCAAAGAAAAGTGGAAAGGGGTCATCATTAGCCCATCAGATCTTTTCTTGGGTTCCACAGTGAGTTGCGCTAGGTTAGAGCAAATGAGAACAAAGCTGAGAGCAAGCCTTCACCTCACACAATCAAGGAAACCGGTATTTGGCTTTGGCACTGGTATTTCCTGACCTCTGAAACAGGACATCCAGTAGCCCTGAAGGACTTACTATGAGGTGGTACAGTATACTCCAACCCCACCACTTACCTCCTCAGTGGTATTACCTACACCCCACGATTATGAGCTCCATTAAGTCCTAACTCCAATCACACCAGTGACTTACAAGTGATCTGGGCCTGGCCACACCGGCACCTTACCTGTCCCTGCCGTCCCAGGTATTTCCAGGACTTGGTATGTCCTACTTACTCAAGGACCGAGTGTGTGGCTGCATACGGGTGATAGCGGTAGAGGAGCAGGTTGTGGTCCACACGGAAGACGCCACCCCCTTTCCTAAGGTGCTCATAGAAGAACAGCAAGTCCTCTGGTACCCCCTGAAAAAGCCAGAAGACAGTGCTCACCATGCTGGGTACTGACCCAGGCTGTCAGGAGCTGTGGAAAGGTGTTTTGTTTAGAGCCAAAGATGGTGGCCCCTGTGGTCCCAGCTCTCTGGGAGGCAGAGCTCACAGGATTGCTTGAGCCCAGAAGCTAGTGCTCAGCCTGAACGCCACAGCCAGACTTTGCCCCAATAAAAGAATCCACCGTTGATACTCAAGGGTGATGTAGGTTGGTGCAGGTCACATGACAGAAATGGAGATTAGTAACTTGTTCCTCAGCAGGTGAGGAATGAACTCTAAGACATAAGGATGAAGCAGGGGGTCGGCTGTGTGTGGATCTGAAATCCAGTCCTGCCTTAAATTCTACTCTGTGGGGCAGAAAAGGTCTTGGGGCAAACTATCAGCAATCAGTGAACACAGAGCTGCATGGCCTTGGAAAACGGAAATCTCATCAATGTGGCAAAAAGGGGATGGTTTCCCAGGAGGCCCTCAATGAGATGCTGAAAAGGAGCGGTTGGATGCATCAGAAGGCAAGGATTTCACCTGAGTGCAGTCTGTTACAAGGCTGTATTTTAACATCGTGGTCAGAAGGGGGCGATGTTGAGCTAGGAACCAGGGAATAAGCAGAGAAGACACGGAGGTGAAAAGTATATTTGACTCAGGCAGAACAAATACTGCCTTGATGAAAATTCACTTCCTCCCACACCAAAACCAATGTGCTTAGTAACAGAACTTGAGACAGGTCTCTGAGCCGTATCATACAGCCTTAACAAACAGGAAGGTGTGGAGGTGGGAACGTTTTGGATGGAAAAATCAATACCGACTCAAACTGGTTTCAAAAGGGAGAGTAAATAACACAAAACAGATCTGACGAAGGGCTTAGCTCAGACTGGGGTCAGGCTCACCAGCAGAGCTGTTGCTTGGGAGTGAGAATATTCACTACTGCTAGGCAGGGGCTGGAGGACAACAAGGCCATATGCCGGCTCCCTGCAGGATACAAGCCAGCCCTGAGGATTCAACAGACCCAGAGGTAGAGACAAAGTAGCTAATACCTTCCTTACCACCTAGTTTCCCACCAACAGCATTCCAGAGATGTTGTGGCTCTGAGCATGTTCACCGAAACCCACTGCAGTTAGCACAATCATGAGTAGTAACACCGGGGTGCTGGAAAAGTGTAGTGGTATACTTGTATTTTGATAAATAAATCTTGCCTGAAGACCAGCGGCAAGGCTAAAGCCACTAGAGGTCAGGCAATGACGACACACACCTTTAATCCAAGTAGCCACACTAGTTTGCCACAGAAACCAGGTGTCACACGCCTTTAATCCCAGCCCTAGAAAGGAATATAAAACGGAAGGAGACAGCTCACAGACACAATCTCATTCTGAGATTCCTGGAGGCAGGATCGTCATTTTGGACTAAGAGGTAAAAGTCAGGGACTGGCTGTTTTGCTTTTCTGACCTTCAGGTTGTAAACCCCAAGTTCTGTCTCTGGGTTTTTATTATTCGTGCTACAGGAAAGAGTCTGAAGTGATTTCCTGAAAACCCTGGCCTGATTATCGGTGCCTTGCAGGCACCCTCCCTCACCTAGGGGAACCCAGAAAGAGCCCAAGTTCTACTGGTTGGCACTTACCTGTCCCCCTTCATCAAACAGGCCCACATGGGAAAACCAGGCCCGAGAGCAGAACCACGTGGGCATGATCACTGTGGGGCCATGGGAGGTGAACACCTAAGAGAAAAACGAAATTAGGACCAATGTCACTGATAGGAAAGACCAGCTTGTCAGGAACAACCTACAGTCTGTTACTCATGTGTCATTAAGAAAGTGACAAAAGAATTTATGCCCCTTCTTTGTGGGAACAGGATTCACAAGACAGACAGGAGGAAATTAACCCAGGCTACTCCCAGGTCCCCACTCTGCAGCTGATGCTGCTCACTGCTAAGCATATTAGGGATCCCTCTGCTTATGCAGGAGGTGAGCTGTGTGTGGGGACCGGCAGTAAACACGCTGCTTCTAACTGCAAGAAGAGAAATCTGAAGGAGCGTGAAAGGATTCTAACCACGACTAGATAATGAAGCTCAACATGGCTTCCTGGAATGACACAAATGTCACAACTGACTCAAGACACAAAACCTGAGTAATTTCTAATAGCTTGAGCCTTCACACACACACACACACACACACACACACACACACACACACACACAAAGCCATGGCCAGGTGGGTCTCTGGTGAACGCTGCCAAATGCTTAAAGGACCAACACCCTCTTCACAATCTTTTCCAAAAACGGTTGTACAGAGTCCTTCTAAGTCACTCTATGTAGCCAGGATCACCGGATGGAAGCAGCACACATAAGTGATCCTTATGAATAGAGGCAACAAAAATGCTCGTGAACGGAGTTTAGCTGTCACAGAATAGGACCATACCCATGAGGAGGTGGTATTTACCCCAGGACAAATGCACCAAAAGCAGACTGAGGATGGGAGAGCCTAGATAGATGCTGTAGCATTTGGTGACGCCCAGAACTCTGCCAAGAAAAGCCCTGGGCTGTTGAGAGCATCGGCTGATATAATGTACACAAAACCCTGGCACCAAGTCTGGTGTTCCTCAGAACTCAGTTAAGGTCGGTGCCTCCACTGCTTAGGACTTTAGGGTTTGTCATGTACATGGAACATACTCATCCTTTTTAATAAACCACCGCACCTTCTTAGTAGCCAGCTCCTACGCATCCTGACCAACATGTCGTTAAAGGCTCTTCCCTGGGACGCCCTCCCTAGAGCTTACAGTCATCATACTGACATGCAAGTATCTATGATGGGCCTCTCAGCACTGGCTGGAGCTTCCTGAGGGCAGAGAGTACCCAGAGAGCATCTCCTGGGAGGAAGATTTTACACTTGTGTTACCTTGACTACAGATGGTCTGGGCCCAGTCTCAGCTGAACCCAGGACAAATGTCTGTATCAGAAAGGTAAAAGAGCAGCCAAATCTTGTTAGACGTGGTAACACACACCTATAACCTAAGCACTGGTGACGTACCACAGCATGCCAACATATACATACATATCAATGAATAAACAATAAAAAGAACTTTTTAAAATTAGCTTTAATGAATGAAGGTCCTTTCCACCAAGCCTGACGGCTTGGGTCCAATCTCTGGAAACTGACATGGTGGGAGAAAACAGCCTCTCTCAAACTGTCCTCCGACTTCTACATATGGGTAACAGAAGAAGCATGCTCACATATAGAATCGATCAATCAATGCTTAAACAATCTTAAAACCACACCTGTTACCTCAGCACTCAGGAGGCTACAGCAGGAAGACCAGGAGTTCAAGACAAGCCTTGGCTACATGAGACTCTAGCTCAAAAAATTATAAAGTAATCAATTAAAAAAACAAATAATAGTTCTCAAAGACAATGGTGAGGGACTGAAGCATGTCTAAGCCAGGTATGCCCTTGATGGGGAAAACGCCACAATCCTCGTAAGGAAGATACACAGCCCCAACTCCTGCATCACCTGCTTCAAGAGTCTGCCCTGATTAATGGTGGTCTCCTTTCTCTGTTATCCCCCAGTCAGTAGCAGGAGGACTCTCCAGGGGTGAGTGTCTAGGCGTGTCTTTGGCATGAAGGCCACCTCATCACCACCACTCAACAAATCTCTACAGCTGTAGTGTCCATTTGAGCGGTGAAGGTCAGCTATGTGGCTAGGTTCCAGGCTATGGTGGCTGAGCAGGCCTGCTATCCATGGTGACTACTACACCACATCCCAGGGTAGAGAGATCCCAAGGTCCTGGGCTTTTAGGAATGTCACACCAAGAAAAAGCATCAAAGGGACCCTTCCCAGTAGTCTAGTTCCCACCTCCCTGACGTCTGGCTCAGCCCCTGATGGAGGGATAGCCTTCCAGCTTTTGTTCCAAGGAAATGGCTGTCAAAAAGAAATGAGGCTGCTTCATCGGGGAGTCAGGGAGATTGCTCAGGCGGTGGGGGAGCCACAGGGGACAGGACAGACGTTGACATCTGGGGGAGCCATCCTCAGCAGCTTGAAGGCGGCAGCTGGAGCAGATGAGGGAGCCATGGGCAAAGGGCCATGCCAACATCACTGCTGTAAAAGTCGTCTTCCCTTGGGTAGTTCCAGCCCATGAGGTCACTGATACCAGACAACTGATGGGCAGCCAGATGTTTGAAGAGGAAGAAGGGTCAGAAAGGGACCCTTTCTTATCAAGGGTCCAAGTATCTGGCAGTTTGGATAACACCCACTCACACAGAGGTGACCACACGGAGGGTGCTCAAACAAGGCCTGTGTGCTCCCATACTGAGCCACAGACACTAAGAGCCCTGGAAACCCTAAAAGCAACCACTTTCAGGCTTCGGGCTTCAATCCATAAGCACAAGCCTCAGCTCCCTGCCTTTTTTTCTTTTTGAGACAGGATCTCATTATGTAGCTCTGGCTGTCCTAGAACTCACTATGTAGACCAGGCTGGCTTCAAATTTACAAAGATTGACCCCCTCTGCCTTCCAGGTGCTGGGATTAAAGGCGTGTACCACCACCATGCCCGGGCTCTGTATATTTTAAAGACTTATTATTTTATGTGTATCAGTATTTTGCCTGCATGTATGCACGCCTGTTCACCATATTTGTGCCTGGTACCCTCAGAGGTCAGAAGAGGGCATTGATAGAGAGGGACTGGAGAGGCAGATGGTTGTGAGGTGCCCTGTGGGTGCTGGGAACAACCTGGTTCCTCTGTAAGAGTAAGTGTGGTTAAGCTTTCTAGCTCCTACTTCCACTTCTTGACAGAGAGGCTTAGTGGAGTTTGGACTCCGAGACCTTCTCATTTCTTTCTGAGCCTCAAGGATCCTTTAGAACGGGATTCAGGGCATCTTGTGGTATCCAGGAACCACTGACCAAGCACTAGCCCCACAGGAACGATGGGCTGTAGATGCTAGTCAATAGAGTTATCTATATGATTTATTTATTTTGGGAGGTTGTTTAGAGGTCTTTTTTTTTCTTTTTGTTTTGTTCCATTGATTCCAGAAATTCTCACAAGCATCCTACCAAGAGTTACATTTCGAGTCCTCTCTGTTTTAAATTTTGAGGCACTAAGTTACCCTGGCTGGTGGTGTTGGTTGTTTTACTCTTTTGGCTTCTTTGGGGTCCACCACTCAGCTCTGAAATAAATACACACATGGAGTCTTATTCTTTCTTATAAATACCTGGCCTTAGCTTGGCTTGCTGCCAGCCAGTTTTTCTTAAATTATCCCATTTACCTTTTGCCTCTGGGCTTTTTTATTTTCTTACTTCTATAGTCTTATTTCTACTCTTACCCCGTGGTTGGCTCCTTCTTTTCATGCTCCTTTATCTCTCCTGCTCTTCTCCCAAATTTCTCTTATTTATTCTGTCTGCCTGCCAGCCCCACCTATCCTTTCTCCTGCCTTGCTATTGGCTGTTCAGCTCTTTGTTAGACTATCAGGTGTTCTAGACAGGCAAAGTAATACAGAGTTAAATACAACATAAAAGAATGCAACACATCTTTGCACCATTAAAACAAATGTTCCACACAGCATAAACAAATGTAACACATCTTAAAATAATATTCTACAATAAACTGGTCTTTAACTTTCCAGCCTCAGTCCCAGCCTCCAGTATGACTGGGATTATAGGCTGTGCTATCAGGCCCCGCTTATAGTCTATCTGTAGAAGTCAAGTTGAACCTAGCCTCAGCAAGTTCAGGTCACTGCTAGAACTCTCCAAAGTTGAGCTCCCCTCCCCTACCTCAGAGAGATGCTTATCTTCTGACCACCCTGTCCCCTCGCCTCTCTGTTCCTCCCCATGGCACAAGGCCGACTCTCAGCACAAATAACAAGTCATCTGCCCCCATCCCCATCATCCTGATTCCTGCAACCAGAATCTTAGACTGGATTTAGACCAAAAAGACAGAATCAGAGGTTGTCCCTAGGCTGATGCTCTGCCGCACTGGAGAGGCCTTGCTAACGGCTCTAGTTTAGAGCCTCAAGTGCTACTCTCTCAAGTGGCTAGCTCTTGACAAGGTCTGTGGCCCAGGGGTAAGAGGCTTAACCTCTGAGACTGGCTTTCACATCTAAAATGGGGATACTAGCCAAGCAAGGCACCTGCCTTTAATCTTAGCATCCAGGAGGCAGAGACAGATCTCCGTGCGTTTGGGGCTAGCCTGGTCTATATAGTGAGTTCCAGGCCAGCCAGAGCTCCACCAGTGAGACCTTATCTCAAAAATACATAAAAGGGATACTGCTATTTCTGCCTATTTAAGTTGGGAGTTGAATGTATTTCCTTAACTTGCTATGGAGTGATTAAAAACAACTGAACCAATCCACAGTGGATGCCATGTATGACATGGTGAGATGCTGGAAGGCTGCCCCTGAGGTCGGAAATGCCTGCTCTCATTACCCCTGTTCAATGCTGTGAGTGAAATTCTAGCCAGTGCAAGTGGGCAATAAATAAATACAGCCTGCTTTGGAAAGGAACTCTGTATTTGAAGATCACATGATTAAATTAAAAAAAAAGGAAAACACACATACACAATCTTTGTCAATAAATGAAGTCTGCATAGCAAAATTCAACTGGATCCTAGGTACTAGCAAAAGGCGTTCCAAAAACAAAGCGAAGAAAATACTTTCAGGCTGGAGATGTAGTTCGGTGGATAGCGTGAGTGCCAGTCTTCCCAGCAGCAGCTGCTGAAGGCACGGTTTTTTACT